AATGCTTAACTAAATATATTTAATTCTGTATTACACTATAAATTTCAACTGTAAAGTATATACTCTGTCATATGACTATTGCTTAAATAAATAGGCCTCTAGAAATAGGAATCAGCATAAACAAATTACAACCTATAACATATCTGGAAAATTTACATTTTTTCCCTAGGATACCATACCTTTTTAAAAAAGTACACTAACTACTTCAGAACTTAAGCACGAGCTATACGATCCTTATAAAAAAAAAAATTAATTTATATTTTAATGTTTAATGTTTACGTGATGTTTTTGTAGCAATTTTTAATGAAAGGTGAGAGTTATCTTAAATATAAATTGTATTTATTTACAATAAGTAGGGGAATGTAGGCTAAGGTGACGAGTAGGGTAAGGTTACGAACTCGTCAAATCTCACATGTCACGACACGTTGAAAACTCCAAATAGTTCTAGTCGATTTCTCTTATCGTGCCGACAATGTAATTATAATATTGTATGTAAAAATAATATTATACAAAATTCGCGTAATTTGTTCGTGAGATAATTTTGACTAAGGACAAGTATTAATAGGACTTTTAGCAACAATTCTTGGTACTTTCTGTTGTTTTCTTCATATATTCGGAATCGTGACAAACATATTGTAGGGTATGAAGATTAAATTCTTTTCGGTATTTTTGACATTACATCACTATTTTTTTTTTAAAGGCCGATAACTAAAAAAAAAACAATATTTTGATGATTTTTGTGAATTAGAAATTTAACAACTTAATTTGTTCAATTTAAACCCAGATCCAAAGTAAGATTTGTATTTCATTACTACATTTTCCATCTTTCTTAAAGAAAAATTAAATTATTTTCATATCTGCATAGAGTTTTAGTGTGTTCGTCACCTCACCCTACAACTTTTTAAAGTGAAAAAAATAAGTTTACGCCAAGGGCTGTAGGATTTAACTTCGCTGAAATCTAACCACCAAACTTTTACAAGAATATGCTTTAGAATATAAAAAACTCCCGAAATATTATTTTATTCGCGATTAAAAAATATTGTACCCTTGAAATTGTTTCTGTTAAACTAATAAACATAACAAATAAGATGCTTAGGTTTCTGTAAAAAGAAAAACGAATAAATCGAGGTTTTAACAAGCTTGAAAAACTATATAAATAATGGATTATAGGTAAGACTATAGAGATTTTTTGCTCACTGCAGCGCCCTGTTCTGGAGAAGGAGAAATTGGGGCGTCGGCCAGTCGGTGAGGTAATTACGAAAATGAAATCAGTCCGAGGTAAGCTGCATAATGCAGGCGCCCGAGGGTGAAGGGCCTGCAAAATTGAATGACCAGTTGATCGGCCTTGGGGGTGTTGGCAATGGCAAAGGCGATGGCTATGGCGATGGCAATGGTGATGGTGATGGTAATGGTGATGGTGGTGCTCCTGATGGCTGTGGAAATTGTGGGCCCTGCCTCAGGGGCGTGGCCAGGCAATTGTTTTCTGACCCCTCTTCGGTGGTCATGTTGGCTACATGTCCTGGGCCCCCAAAAAAGGGAAGGGAAAGTGCCAGGAAAATTCTGTGTTTGGCAAATTTGATTGCATATTTGGTTATCTGTCATTTTTCCGAAGGCAATCATGTTCGCAGTGCGTAATTAGGTTACCATGACGGTTTGTGGGATATGTGGCGATATAGAGTAAGGCTTTAGTTCACGATAAAAATCAATTTATTACTGAGAAAGACCTTAACATTCTTGCAAAAAAATACATTTCTTTATAGTGTTAATTTATTATAAGTATTAAAAAAATGTTCCACTAATTAGTGCGACCTTAAAAAAATTGTGTAATTAAAATAGTGGCATTTACATGCCAGCCCTTGAATTAATTTGCTAGCAGAAGAATGTTAATGACAACAAAATATAAAAAACAAAAAAAAAAACAATTTAATATTCATTATTTCACAATTCTCTGTTTCTTTCATATTTTCCACTTTTTCTGACCACTAAAATTCATTACCGGGGATTCCAAGATGGGCTCATAAATACGATAAAAATGAAAGAATGAGAATGCAGACATCAAATTGAATGTGCAACTGTGCGTATCCGCAATGTGCCGGGGGCAAGCGAAGCAAAATGAATTTAATTATAAAAAATTGAGTCCTTATCGGTGGGGCACTTGAAAAATTCAATTAATCTCTTGATACCTTCAAAACGAAATTAATCAAAGTGCTTGCACAAAACTTTTCAACAAGAGTGGTGTCACAAAAAAATACAACAAGTGTTTGCTTCTTTTCATGCTTTACCTAACATTGTTTTTTACAATTTTCTCTAGCCAAAACTCCAATTTCCGCTGAATGAAATCAAAGAGATGTTTTTTTTAGACCATAAAAAAATCGTTTGCCGGTAACAACGGTCGGGGCAAATAAAAATCAAATTTAAAGCTCTAGGAAACCCCTCGGAAAACCGTGACTTCGGCCTCGAAAAGCAGGCCGAAAAAAGGGTGGGCGGGAAAGGGATTGGTTGGGAAACCCCCTCCCCTCACACACACAACTAAATGTCGCAATTTTACGAGTCAATATAAAGGTGCCTGGGGAGTCATTTACAGGCGCACAGCGGTTTGCCTTCGCTCGGTTTTCTTTGGCAATAAAACATCTCACAAAGGACACGGGTCACAGGACGCGGAAAAGCGGTACGTGGAAATGCGTTGCCGCAAGGAAAACGAGGAAAAACACGTGTACGACGGCATGGCCCGGCTAAAGTCAAATATGATGGCAATTTTTATGCTTTTTTGTTGAAATATTTCCACCAATGAGGCATAAAACAGAAGCCGAAGCGGAACTTCGCTCCGGCCCAAGAATGATTTACGACCCATTCTTCAGTTTACGACAAATTTACGAGAACATTGCAATTTGGCTATTATTAATTTAGTACAGTGAAGCAACTAACAGGTGGGCCAGCCAGGGAAACGAATTTCTTAAGTTTCATTCTTTGAAATTTTAAAGAGGATTTTTGTCTTTAGGGTTTATAATTTTTTTAGTCAGCTTTTTACTAATTAATTTGTTATAAATAATATAAATAAATATGGCAAGTTTGAGGATTTTCTAAAACACAGATTTACCATCTTCGAGTAAATTTAAATGATAAATGAGCCGAATTCTTAGTGGCTCTGGCAGTACAGCCATTACAGTTTCCATGGACAATGATATCGCCGTTCCTAATAGTTATTTTGGGAATCGTCCCTAAAATTAAATGATATATTATTAATGAGATCAAGTTAGTAAAAATTTAAAAGCAGTACTTACGCGCATATCCAATTTCGAGTAAGGAGAGAAGCGCCAGTAGCGGGACCAATAACGAAAACCACTTCATCGCTGCGACAATTCATATGAAACACTGACTGAGATCGGTCCATCAAAGCTCGATTTATATAGCTGCATTACTTTACCTCGGCGGTGATTAACACAAGAATATCAGAAAATACCCTAGAACATTGTATAAACACATGGGTTTTCCAAAAACCCCCACACTTGATAACCCATCTCGAACAACTGAGGGCTCAAATGTGATGCAGGTCAGCTTTAAAGCTTCTACTCCCCAGCTTCAATGTATAATTAATTCACTTAGTTATACCTGCGATGAGCGCTGCGTAAAAACCAATAATGACGTAAGTTTGAATATTAAGGGTATTCGCAGCTCACATTAAATAAATTAAGATACATTTTATTTTAATTTAATAATTTTCGGAGAATTCATAGAACCGTCATAAATACTTTAAACTCCAATTGGTAGTAGGCATTTTAATTTATTTAGTGGGTAATACCCATGTTGCAAATTTCGTTTTTAGTTATAAACTTGTTTTTGAGCAGCAGTTTAGAATCTATTGTTTTGTCAGAACAATAAATATACCAGTATGCATTAAAGATCATTACCCCTAAGTTCGAATAAATAAATAAATTGAACGATATCTAATAAAATAAAAAGTAGTATAGTAAAAGTATGGAAACATTTTTGGTATATAAGGAAATAGGACAGTTTCTATACGAATTCAAGAGTTTTTCGCACCTTTCTTTTCTCAGTGTAAATTTTTTTGTATATTTAAATAAATTTGATTGGTAAAATTGACCAATGTCGATTATTTAGTAACTATACAAAATTTTACTTAACTATTAAACATTTTTATTTCTGCTTTGTTTACTATTTAATAGTTAAGCAACCATTTACATAGTTACGTTCACGTGCCGTAGGTATTTTGTTATTGCAATGGTAAATACATAGTAATTAACAATTATGGTGTCTGGCCTTGAAGCGAGAGGACCCCGGTTCGAGTCCTACTGGAGTAAGTGAATCGGAAGTCTTTTTCAGTTGTAAAATTCGTGTACTAATAATACTTAAATTTACAGATTACAAAAAAATATATGTCTTTTCCAGGACTCGAACCCGGGTCAAAAATACCGGGTTCCGCTGGGCCACGCCCTTTTTATATTTTCAAGTGGCTAAATGCCTTTGTAAATTTAGATAAAAATTTGAATGTTAAAAATGTTTCATAATTTTGACAATATTTTAGACTATACATGGCCTTGATCATGATGGAATTGAAATAAGTCTTCGATTCCTCAGTCCCAAATTTCCTTAATTTAAACCTATTTGTTGGGTTTACAGTTCATATTTTTTCTGGGGGTAGCATGTATTTAAATTATAGGATTTATAGCTCTCGCACATGGATGGAATCTGCGTTTTTCCCCTCACACAAATAATTGTTATACTACTGTTTTGCGTAAAAAAAAACGTTCTTAGAATAATTTTTTTAGGATTTCATTCAGAACTTCCGACTGGGACAGGGAGAGTTGTGTGCTTTTGTGTTGAAATTAAACCTTAATGAATGAGCTTTCCTGGCTTTCACTTTTAATCGATTAAGCTAAGTATGCTTTGAAGAAACCAATTTTAATACACCCTTTTTGATAAATAATGGACAGCTATTAAGGAGCCGTCAGTAATCCCAGAGAGTGTATAAATGCAAAGTGTTATGTTTTGTTCTTTATTGTGGCCTAATCCCCGCCCCCACTGATGCTGCAGCCGACGCAATCCTTATTGTGAAGGTAAGTGCCACCTGGCACGCGTCCACTGAAGCCATCGGGATACTGGGTGCCACCGCCTCCTCCTCCTCCGCCAGCTGCCAATGATGGACCAGCTCCTGGGCGACGGACTAGACCGTCCAGAGCTCCTGGATAAGCGCCGGGGGAATTGATATAGACATTTCCCTGGCCAGGCCTTCCAGTCCTGTAGGTTTTGCCATCGACCACCACGTTTTCCGCCACCGGCGGACTACAATCCCGGCACGCTCCGCCGATAATCACATTTCCGGCTGTGGAGTGATGGAATAATAAGGAAATCGAGCGGCTGAAGGGGGACCATCTGATTCTTACCTGTGGCCTGGGAAATCAGGACAGCGGCAACTGCAAAGGCCAGAATCAGACACTTCATTCTCGAACTGGGTGCAAAAAGAATCTGCTCGAGACACATGAAATCCGAAAGCTTTTAAGCATTCTCCCCTGCTTTGTTGTAGAAACCAGATTGCAGTAGACGCACAACGATATATAGATGGGATGGTGCGGGACTCGCCCCAGAAACCAGTTCAATTGACAGATAATTCTTGGTAAGGGGTTTTCCAAAAGCAGTCCCCCCTCATTCAAGCTTTTATTTTGATTTCTGTTAGCTAGAAATTGAACTCAAGCGTATATGTAACACAAAGTGTTCACAAAAACCAGATGCTTTTTTGATTTTTGAATTGAATCTTTACTTTGCATTTTAAAGTTATAACAGGTAGTTTTAAAATACTTTGTTTGGTATAGAAGTCCTGGAATATGAATAATTGTTGTTATTTCTTTGAAATGTGTTAAGGAATTCAAGTATACTTATAGTTTTAAGAAATTAAAACTATTTACAAATTGCAAATAATATATACATAGGTAATCCGTATACATAGGTTTTATATCAAATTAGTTATTAATTTATTTGGATTCCTAATATTTGACGCTGAGGATTACTGGAAATATTGCCAAATTATTAATATTATTCTGAAATTATAGAAATTTATTTTGTAATCCCTAAAACCAGTACAAAGATATTCTATATACTAACCAGTATTTTTAGTTGCAATGGAATTAACCTTCATCTGTTAATTAATTCATTTAATTATTTTAAGTCTTATCAAGCTTGTAATACAAATCTGTCTTATTAATTATGTGCAAAAAATCTGCATGCTGTGAAATTCCCTTCAGCTGTTTTGCTTTTGTTTTTACTTTTAATCTCAGGGTTTGTTGACTACATTTTTGTGTTTTCCCATGTCGTCGGTTATCAGAGAGCCAACGAGCGTCCAATGCACTATAGTCGCTCTATGGTCGTACGTTCAGCTATAAAAGATCGGGTCTAGACAGTCGAGAGCACCAGTTACAGCCAATCCGTTACTCAGCGCATATAGCATCTTATACCGGAACCACCAATCCAGAATCAATATGAAATTCTTCTCAGTCGTCACCGTCTTCGTGCTCGGTCTCCTGGCCTTGGCTAGCGGTAAGTTAAACCTATAAATTTCCAAAATCTGATCAATTAATTTATTAACTATCTTTCCATCAGCTGTTCCCCTGTCGCCCGATCCCGGAAATGTGATCATTAACGGAGACTGCAAATACTGCAATGTCCGCGGTGGCTAAAAGGAGAATCTATGTATGCCTAAGGATGTACAAATGGACTACTTACCTCAAACTTAAGACACCATATTTATAATACCGCTTAATACTAAAATGAAACCTAGAATTAAAATAAAAGTGCCAAGAAATGAAATACAACAAAATAGAAGGCTTCACTCCTTTCCTCACTAAAAAACATTGAGAAATCTTTTATTTTTGGGTAACTAAATTGACGAATTATGCCTTTATTGCCATTAATCATTGGGCTGGATTGGATTTACGTACTTGAAACCACTCCACTTTGAAATCTATTGATTAAACTATTGACGAGGGTTATCAGATGCCTTGCACTTGAGTCTTTATAATCAGATTGACTTGGCTGTATAAGATCAGGCCCTGTAAGTCGAGAGCATCAGTCGAAGCCAATATTTCCTTTAAACCAGTACAAAGATATCTTAAAGGTGTAATGATAAAGATGTGTCCAAATAAAAACTCGAAAATTTTTTTAGTTGCGTTGGAATTAGCCTTCTGCTTTTAAATTCATTTAGTTACTTTTAGTCTTATCAAGCTTATAATACAAATCTATCTTACTACTTATTTCCAAAAAATCTGCATGCTGTGAAATTCCCTTCAGCTGTTTTGCTTTTGTTTTTACTTTTAATCTCAGGGTTTGTTGACTACATTTTTGTGTTTTCCCATGTCGTCGGTTATCAGAGAGCCAACGAGCGTCCAATGCACTATAGTCGCTCTATGGTCGTACGTTCAGCTATAAAAGATCAGATCTCGACAGTCGAGAGCACCAGTTACAGCCAATCCATTGCTCAGCGCATATAGCATCTTAAACCGGAACCACCAATCCAGAATCAATATGAAATTCTTCTCAGTCGTCACCGTCTTCGTGCTCGGTCTCCTGGCCCTTGCAAACGGTAAGTTAAACCTATAAATCTCCAAAATCTGATCAATTTATTTATCAACTATCTTTTCTTAGCTGTTCCTCTCTCGCCCGATCCCGGAAATGTGATCATTAACGGAGACTGCAAATACTGCAATGTCCGCGGTGGCTAAAAGGAGAATCTATGTATGCCTAAGGATGTACAAATGGACTACTTACCTCAAACTTAAGACACAATATTTATAATACCGCTTAATACTAAACTGAAACCTAGAGTTAAAATAAAAGTGCCAAGAAATCAAATACAACAAAATAGAAGGCTTCACTCTTTTCCTCACTAAAAAACATTGAGAAATCTTTTATTTTTGGGTAACTATGAATTGACGAATTATGCCTGTATTGCCATTAACCATTGGGCTGGATTGGATTTACGTACTTGAAACCCCTCCCCTGTGGAAACTATTGATTATACTATTGACGGGGGTTATCAGACGCTGCCAACCCGTTATGCACTTGAGTCTTTATAATCAGATTGACTTGGCTATATAAGATCAGGCCCTGTAAGTCAAGAGCATTAGTCGAAGTCAATATTTCCCAGCGCACTTTTCATATAAACCCTCAAACTAGAATCAATATGAAAATCTTCACAGCCGTCACCGTCTTTATTGTCGGTTTCCTGGCTCTAGCCAATGGTGAGTTATAAATATATATATATTACGTAATTGATCAGCTAGCTTATTTCATATTTTTTCTCAGCTGCTCCCCTGTCGCCCGGTGGTGGAAGTGTTATTATCAATGGCGACTGCGTGAACTGCAATGTCCACGGTGGCAAATAGAAAAGTTTTGACTTGGAATGGAGAAAGGGAACTTATCTCCAACCAAAGACCATATGTATATAACTCATGTGTTTTAAAATAAAACCTAGAATCTAAAAAAATGACAACAAGAAAAAATGTTTACTTCCTTATTACTTAAACATTATTTACTGAGCCGCTATGAATCAAAATAACCAACTGAATGTAGTGGCCGACGTCATATTATCGGCTATATAAATATATAGCTTATAATAAAAATGTGTTCGTCAATAGATTGGTTACATATATACCAAGTGCGATTCATTATGTCATTTTATTGTTAATGTGAAAAGTTGTATAGCCTATACAAGGGTTAAAAGACAGGCAAAAGAAGATGGTGCTGGATGGAATATAAAATATAACATTGATTTGTTTTAAAAAAAAGAACTTTGAAATAGTTTTTGTTTGTTTATTGTTTTTATTTATTTGCAATTATTGTAACGGATTCCGGATTATTAGCCGCGAATATTGCATCCGACGCAATCACTGTTGCGCACCAAGGTTCCGCCGGGATAGCCACGTGAATCGTAGGTGGTGACGCCACCTGACCAGCCTCCGCCTCCTCCTCTTCCTCCAGATCCACCCAGATCGATGTACTGACCCTGGCGCTTCGAACGCCTGCCTATATATTGGGATCCTCCAGCTGATTGGTGCAGTGACCAACCGCCGGCCAGGTCATCATCATCCTCCTCCGATGAAGTTGGCCTGCGGGGCGGTGGAGATTTAGGCTTGGGTCTGGCAGTAGTCCTGCCACCATTCCCCTTGCCAGTTGAAGGTTTGTGGGTGGTAGTGGTGGTGGTGTGTCCATGGGAGCAGTCAACGCACTCCCCCTTGATGGTGACCTTTCCAGCTGTGAATAGATAGAGATTAATATTCTGACTAAAGCCTTTAAGCTCCAAAACCGACCTTGGACGTAGGCCAACGTGGCCAAGAACAATAGCGCCAATAGCGTCAGGCACTTCATTATGCGGCTCTCTAACTTCGATCGATCGATCACCGGCGCCTTCTTTTATACCCGTCCCGATTATCTCAGATCTGTAATCAACATATACTGTATGCGAGTGCATATAAAACCGCTCAAGGCTGGAGTTAAATACAGCTAAGGCATGATGTGTTCCTTGATCTTGAAACAAAGCTGAACTATTGGCTGTTGCCAGAATAAAAGATTAACAGGAATTGATGCCTTTAAAAATTTGGATTAATAATTTATAATGACTTCAAGCTACAGGCGAACGAATTTCGTACTCTTCGAACAAATACTGTCATTCAATCTTTACTTATGATAATATTTAAACGTATATTAATTTAAATTTGTAGACTATCTTGTTGACAAAACTACCATAATGATAGTTCTGGATTTCTTCGCTAAGTCGTCATCCATAAATTAAAGTTACATGTCATTCATGATTAAATTACACTAGTGTCTGGTGAAATATGTTTCTAGGGTTAAAAAATTGTAGAGTTTCTGTTTTTTTAATTGTTTTTATGCCTATTTTATTTTTTATCACGAAAAACATTTTTTTTTGTCTTACCAAAAAGTATTTGGTTCCTCAAGGGCCTTGTTTATGAATAAAATAGTGTTATTTAACTTTTCCCATTCACGCCTTAGCGATTGGGATTTTAGAAATTTATTTTGTATAACAATTTTAATTTTTTCAATTGCGTAGATTTAAAAATAAATCGTTATTTAGTAATATTATTTCTGCTAAGAGGAATGTTTTACTTTCATGTTTAAGTGTCAATGGCACCTGTTAATTTAGAATTTAGAACACGTGCTGTTTTTCAATTAAATTGTCATTAACAGGTTTTAATTCGTCGATACAAATTTTTCTACACCAAAACAAATGAATACACTGATTATTATGACCCGTTGTTTGCAAGTCTTTTATGCAAATGTCAGAAAGAAATGAAAACAAATGCTATTTGTAAACAAGAATACAAGCTATAGGGCTCTTTAGGTAAATATTAATATCTTTTGGATTACTCTACTACGGCAAGTAGTTAAAAACTACCAAGAACTCTAACCATTTTCTCTTGAATCTCGATGCAATATTAGTTACCTGCTAGTTCACATACACACCTCTTTGCTTCTCCGTAAACACTGGACTGGAATTTCCAGATTTAAATACGCAAAAACAAAATACTATTGAGCGGTTAACTTTCTGTGTTTTCCCAAACGTCTCAGATTGGTTGGGGGTTATCAGAAGCCTGCGGACTGCCCATTACACTTGAGTCGTTCTACGATCCGAAGCTGAGCTATATAAGATCTGGTCCCGAAAGCCGAGAGCATCAGTTGAAGTCAATCAATTGCCCAGTGCATTTAGCATCAAAAACCGGAACCACCACTCCAGAATCAATATGAAATTCTTCTCAGTCGTCACCGTCTTTGTGCTCGGTCTGCTGGCCCTGGCCAACGGTGAGTTAAACATATAAATTTCCAATAGCTGATCATTTAACTAATTAACTATCTTTCCCTCAGCTGTTCCCCTGTCGCCCGATCCAGGAAATGTGGTCATCAACGGCGACTGCAAATACTGCAATGTCCACGGTGGCAAGTAGGAAAGTTTTTGCCTAAGGATCAACAAAAGGCCATAACTTACCTCAATATTTATAATACCACTTTGTACCAAAATTAATCCTATAATTTAGAACAACAATGACTTAAATAAAAAACACAACAACGAAAAATATACATATGTTTCTTATCTTTCATACATCTCTTACAGATTAGAATATATATAAAACAGTGCTCACTAAAGCTTAGAGCCAAGCTAAAAGGCTCTATACACCCAAAGCCGATTGTAATACACCGACTGAAAAAATATGTCGACTTGAAATCAAAGAAATACCCTACTTAAATGGAAATACAACACCAATTTCTTTTATTACAGAAGTTTTGTAAACTTTTGTTTGAATTGGATTTTGAAGACCCCACAATATAGATTCCCCAACAAGGACCGCTAAACGCTTTCCTAACATATATAATATTAGCACCTCAAAAAACAAATATAATACATACAGATTAATTTTGCATAGGTTACCCCTTAAAAAATATTACAACGCTATAGTCGAAGTGCCCGACTACTAGATACCCGTTACTCATCTAAAGGGAGTGCAAGGGAGATGGAGATATGCAAGCAGCAAATTTGCTGTATCCGAGATTGCACACAAGGCCAAACACGCCATCTAGCGTCTTATAATTTGCTTATAACTTTTGAACTAATGGTCATATTTGAACAAATTTTGGCATGAAAATAATAGTTTGAAAATGCTCCAAGAAGGATGGTAATAGTTCCTGATAGAGTTGGACCTCAAGATAACAAAAAAAACCTTTCGATAAAGGGTGAAATTATAGTTGTAAAATAAATCAAGTTTAACCTAAATTGGTTAAGCGCAACTCGAGATATAATTACAAACTAGGAGACACCAAACAAATGATCTTATGAAAAAATGGGCGTTAGAGTGGGCGTGGCACTCTGATGAAAGTAACTTGCGCTGCGCATGGAGCCGAAGAATTTGCATGCTTAATTCCAACATTCTAGCTCACACAGTTAGTTTCCGAGATCTCAGCGATTATACGAACAGACAGACAGACTGACAGATCGACTCGGCTAGTGATTTTGATCAAGATTATAGATTCTTTACAGGGACGGAAACGCGTCCTTCTACCTGTTAAATACTTTCCTACTAATCTAATATACCCTTCTACTCTACGAGTAACTGGTATAACACCACAAAATGTAAAATGAATCAGAATATTTCGTAATGCGTTTTTGTAAGGGGAGGGAAATATTGAAGTTTATTTTTTAGCGGTTATGTTAAGTTTTAAGCATCGTTAAATAAACAAATTCATAGCTCTGTTGAAAAAATATTTTAAATTTTTCTGAGATTCGACCCTACATTTTGTGACACGTTTGACGTGAAATGACCCATATGCAACTTTTGTCTGAAGCATTGCAATTTTGTTTTGTAATAAAAGCTGGTCATTGTTTTTATTATAAAATTTTAAGATGTTATGCTTTTATTCAAGCTTTGAAGTTTTTTGTTCAAAAAAATCACGTACTCTAACAAATTTATTTTCCTATCAATGTTGTCCCAGTGTAAATTAGGGTAGCCCAAATTTATAAAACCATTTTTTGAGGTTTTACGCTAAGCCGCAAAAACATTGCGTTTTAAAGAATTCGACTTAATCTGGATAGTGTGGACCCAAACTAAATTTTTTAATGTTCTTTAATTATTATTTATTAAATTGAACAGGTCAAAAGTATGAAAATGATCTTCATGTTTAAATTTGTAATTGACACATGATAAACGTTTATAAGAAAGTTTGACAAAAATTGTTTTCGAAAATATTTGGTGCACACCAAAATCTACCATACCAAATGAAGAAAACATTGTTTGTATTGTTTGGACCACCCTAGTGAACATAAGATAAGAGGAGACTATCTGATTGTTTATTTAAGGAAACAGTAAGTGGTTCTCCGCCCCTAGAGGAATCAGACTCTTCCCAACTACCTATGCTACCCCTTTTTGCACCTTTTCGCAATTCTTGCTAATAAAGCCGGTGTTAATTTAAGCATTTATTGTTTCGACGGAATTGAACGTGTAAAACGGGTCTCAATACGTGGAAAAACATCGCAGGGGCGCCAAGTGAGATTAAATCAGGTTTGCATCCGAGCACCGCACGTGAATTGAATGGCGCTCTGGACCAGCTGGATTTACCCTCCCCAATCTCGCGCCCCGGGGCTATCAGTCTGCACTTGTTTACGCTCAATTTCATTGAGAACGTCGCACTATTGCACTTGGGGAATTTCTGGTCTGGGGGTTGGCTCTGGGAGAATCCCAATCTCTGGCTGACTTTTCCCAGCGTCGCTGCAGCCACCTTGATAAGACAGAACAGATCGGTCTAGCTGGAAGTTCTGTGATAGGGCCTATATAAGCAGTTGGCTTCCGAACACTCAGCATCAGTTGTCAGCTGCAAATCCTCTCGAGTCAACCTCAAAAACAAACCACAAAACCAACAACATGAAATTCCTGTCGCTTGCCTTTGTCTTGGGTCTGCTGGCTGCCGTGGCCAATGGTGAGTAAACTTAACAAACTATTTGCAAACTACATAAGTTATTTAATTATTATTTCAATTACTTTCCGTCTTTAGCCACTCCCCTGAATCCTGGCAATGTCATCATCAACGGCGACTGTCGAGTCTGCAACGTGAGGGCTTAAGGGCAGCAGAGATGGAGCAAAACAACCAAGCCAGTTGGAGTTCACACAGCCAAATATTATTAAGTCTTATAAAAATGTAAACAAATATTCAAAAAAATTCAATAATTAAAAAAATATTCAAAGTACACAATTTAAAACTTTCATTGGGACAGTTATCAGCTAAAAAATGAGAAGAAGATGGGATAGGAAGGACAGTTGATGCTTATAAAGCTTAAACTGAAATATATTTTATTTATTTATTCTCAGGCTAAAAGAAAATATATTTATATAACATATTATATTAATATATAATAAAACATTGTAAAATAAGAAATAAGGAAAAATGGGTATAGAAACCTTATCATAATATATATGATATACATACTTGCAACTAATAGAAAACATTCAATTTATTTATAACAGTTGTGATATACTTTTAAACGTCTAGATGAAAATATTACCTTTGATTGAATAATAGGTATTTTATTCCACATATTGGATTCTCCTACACTAACTATACTATAATTAATACGTATATATTCAGTACATACACATGCATATAATAATTGAACTATAATTTGTATTATAAGATGTTTCTTGTACACAGTAATTAAAATGTACAATGCAAACATCCATTTGTTACCAACTGATATGGGTTTTATCAGTTGCTTCCCTTGGGTTTTTACTGTAATCCCCATTTAAGATGAACAATACTATATATTGAGCCTATATAAGAGCAGAGCACTCGAGCTTTCTCAATCAGATTTATTCGCAGTCCCCAAGAGAAACATGAAACCCCTTCAAGTCGCCGGAACTTTGATGTTGATTTTTTGCCTGCTGGCTGCGGTTAACGGTAATTGTCATATCAATTAGGTTTATATATATTTTTAGCTAACAATTTTCTAATTGCAGCCACACCGGGCAAGGTGTATATAAATGGACAGTGCATTGACTGCAACAAGCCCGATAACGATGATGGTATAATAATGCCCACAGACCATAAAACGGGTGGTTCTATGTCCTACACTCTCACATCTGGAGCGGTGTTTTTCGGAATTATTTATCATTTATTTAGTTAAATGACTGTTTAATTATTCTGTAAATAAAATAATGATTTATTTGAAGCTTAGTGTAATGTGCATAGGATAACGGGATGTTTTGGTATAGGTACTACTATTTCACAGAACAAGTAAAACATGAAGACATTTTATTTATATATGTACACTCAGAAAAAAAAACAAGTGTTTCGTGCTTGAATCGAGTATTTTCGGTGTCAAAACTTCGACAAGCATGGAAAGTGCAGAGCCAGAGAACAAAACTCAGCTTTCAAGCACGAATTTACTATAATCAACAATGAATAATTTTAAAATATAGTCATATTTGTACTTAAAAAAGATTGATTTAATAATAAAGTAAGAAAGTTGCAGGCATGATTTAAGGACAAATAATTCTTTAATGTACATGCATTGTACATTTGTTTTCACTATATGCGAGTAAGAGAAATAAGTATTGGAAACTTAAATAAACGAGATATACCTAAATAATATTAATATCTTAAGTTTACTTACGACTTGTCGCTCCCGGGCATTAACACTGTGTAATTTATGGAAATTGTTAGAGTTGACAGATATTTATTTCCAAAATGTGCTTAGTGTGAGAACTTTTTCAGCCCAAAGGTTCTTATATGGTAAGCACGAAATGGTTCCTAAATCAAGGCTGTTTGTAATTGCTCTTAGCACAGTGTTTTCCCTGAGTGTATATATATATATTTGTTGCTCAAATATTCATTACGTTATAATAACGCACTGCAATGAGGTCATTAAAATAGCATTAAGTTATAACAATAAAATAAGAAATTTTGGTACGTCTTTAAAGCTGTTAAAGAAATTAAATCACTCTTTAAATTGTTGACACAATAAATTTTATACCAAGAGCTAGTCAAAACTATTTTTATACCCGTTACTCGTAAACCGCCCTAATCTGTGGCGCCCACAATTTTAATGCTAGAAAAAAATTGTAACTGAAGTTTATTAGTCTCGTCAATACCTTTCGATTGTCCCCAAAAAAAAGTTTGGCACGCCCACTCTAACGCCCATAACGCATAAATCTGTCTACCGCCCACATAACCATATAATGAGATCGCGGGTATGTTGCGCATTTTCCCTTTGTCCCAAAAGCTGAGTAACGGGTATCTGATAGTCGAGGTACTCGACTATAGCGTTCTTCCTTGTTAAGTTGTGTATTGGTTTGAATGCATTCCTATAGACAAAGGTGCATTTAATCATGTATTTTTAACCCTGATTGATTTCCTTATCGTCCGCTTTTGGTTTTGAAATTATATATATAATAGAGTCCGCTTATCAATGGGAAATATTTCATTTCTGGGGCATTTCCAGTAAATTCAAGACCTTGCATATAGATGGGAAATACCTGCGATTATATTTTATTTTAAGGGCTCCCATGTATAAAAGAAAATCCAGGAAGTGTACTTCCCTCAGTTGAGTTCAAGGCATTGCTTACAAAATGAAACTAATTTCCCTGTTGTTTTCACTTGGTCTGTTAGCCTTGGCGATGGGTACGTAAATCTTAGATCCTTAAATCCTTGCCTTTAAAAAAAATTGTATTTTTACAGCTTCCCCGCTGGATCCAGATAACGTTATTATCAATGGAGATTGCAAAGATTGTAATGTGTACGGAGGCTAATCTGGAGCTAAAAACCTTAAGAGTTATGTAACTTACACTTGTAGAAAATACATTTTCTGCATATAAGCTGGTTGTTTTATTTATGTACTAGATAATAATCTAGAGGAGTATCATATAAAACTAAGTTCCTTGAAACTTGATCAAAAATGGGGGTCGAATAGTGCTTTTACAGCTGGTTTAGGGACAAGTGTGTTTTAAAAACCCATAAATAAAAAAGATATTGCTTTTTAATATGCTAGCAATATTTTTATTGCAATGGTCTTCAGAAAAAATATTTTACACGTCTGCAGCTCATAAGCTGAGGTTTTGTATTTTCTTGAAAAAGTAATTTAAGTAGGAACCTTTGGTGTTATAACAGAAATAATTGTTCTGCCAGTTCTTTATTATGAAAAAAACATTTAAGTATAAGATTCTGTGAACTAATTTTATTTCATATTTTGACACATCAGAGAATTGCGCTTTAAGTCCATATATTAGTCGCCTCGAACATTGCAAACCCGGCAGTCGCCGTTGATGATCACATTGCCGGGATTAAGGGGAGTGGCTAGGCAAAAAAAAGAAAGATTCAATTAGTAATCAGTCCAGTTGGTATAGTATATCCTTGCACTTACCACTGGCCAGAGCCAAAAGACCCAGAAGAAATGCGATCGAGAGCAGCTTCATATTGTGAGTGAATCCAACGACTAATTTGCCAATCTGTTCGAACAGGTCTCTTTTATAGCCCCGCCAAGGCGGATTGATTAGCAAATTGCGCACTTTTTCAATTAATGCATGGCATTTGGCATGGAATCAATAAAAATGCGTCATAACTTGATTTTAACAGCAGCCTACCCCGTTTTTTATAGCTCTCAAGAGATCTTTGTCTGTGATTTGCGTGTCACTCTAGTATACAAACATATAAACTGTAATTGATTCCAAAGAATTTTTCCATGTTACCTTTTTTTCATTACAAAATGTAAACACGGATTCGTTATCATAATTTACAAAAAAATACAAATTTTTGTATTTTATACCGGAACCTGATGAAATTTTCCGAAGTGTAAGTCATAAGCGGAATACATACATAATATATACATAAAGTAAAGTTTAAAATTTATAAATTGATATGATAACAAATTGCTCGGTTTTGTTTTAGAGCTTGCTTAAAATACTTTAAAATGGCTTCTACGGACTTAATAAATGTTTATTTTTTAAAAAGTTTTTTGAATACGCATTTAGAAGCCTGAGTTTCCCTTGCTAGAATTTGATTTGTTCAATGTTTTTTGTCCGGAATTTGTTTCTATCAACCCGCAAAAGGTAAATGAACGTGTTTGTGGTCGAATTAACTTGGCACCCAAAAGTTGTTGTAGATGTGTCTGTTTGATTCTGTTTATAAGCAACTCTGCCCGTGCATAGGTGCACTGAAAAAAAATATTGTTCCAAATAATGCTGAAAAATATAATACTACACCACAAAATGGATTCTAATAAAGTTGACGTTTTTATTGAATATTGACTTAAGTTATTAGATTTAAAAAGCAAATTATTAATTTAAAGTATTGAATATTGCATATTAAAGCTTGGACTATATTTAAATTTTATGTTTACAACTATAAAAAATATTTATTTATAGTTTTAAAATAAAAGGCAATTATATTTATAGATTTTTTAATAGAACGGTATTGATTATTATTATTTTTATTTTAAATTTTAACTTATTTTTACCGTGTATGTGTTTTCGCACATGGCTGGCAATTAAGCCAATGAAGCATTAAAAACCACCAGCCAAGCTCCATGCAAAATGAGTTTTTTGGGTGATTCGGGGGCTCGCGGCGATTGTCAGCTTTTTCGGGGCGGTTGGATGGTTTCGAGGACGAGAAAGGTGAAAGCGAGTGGGGCGGAGAAAGGGTTTAACTCAGCCATCCAGCCTCCACTCACACTGGATTAGTGCCGCGTGTGCTAAATGCTGTTGTTGTTTTTACACATTTGTCAACGTAGATGGCATTACGGATAAATGAACTTCAACCAGATGAACGTACATGTGTACGTATGCGTTATACGTGGAATTGTGCCCCGGGATGGACGGGCAGCCGACACGTGTGCGTTAACAATTTAATTACGCTGCGGGCAGCGACAGCTGCCACATGGCTCTCGAAAAAGTTAATCATCCAGACGAGAGGGTTTTCAGGAATCCAAGACAACCAGGAGTTGGCTTTGTGGCACGATTAAAGAGTTATCCGAATGTTTCAATTGAAGGACTCGAGCGACGTTAAGGAGCGGTATGTCAAAGGGTCCCAAGAGGTCATGTTATTGCTGTATAAATTTAAACAAGAGAGAACGCTATAGTCGAGTGCCTGTATACTTGATAGGATCGGAAATGCTTCTTTCCTTTACTCTACGAGAAACGGGTATACTAAAACAGACGTTTAAATATATGTATTTTATCATTTGGCAAATAAATTTAAGGTTAACATAAATGAAATTCAATAATTTACATTAATAAGTGGGACCTTTAAAACTATACTAACTATGAAAATGGAATAGGATAGAAAAACACAAAATATTTTTCAAATATTGGTTTAGTTTATAAATAAGCACTTGGAATATGATACTAATCTATTATTATCAACAGTTTGCAAATAATTATTTATTTATTTTATTATAATAAATGTAAATGAAGAAAATACATTCTTGAAATATGGTATCTTAACCTTTAAAAATGTTTAATTAAAAGAAAAGTTTATGTACCTACCGTATGCGTATGCGTATGCGTAATATTACCTAAGATAAACTTAAAAAAAACATATAATGTTTAATATTTGTCAATATCATGTGGTCGGTGTGCATTCTTTAATATATTTTTAATCCATTTACGTTTTTTCCATGCATTTATGTTTATGGGTAATTTCAGCTCTTTTCCTATCGCTTTAAATATAATGGCTCTCTGGCAGCTGCTCTTCTATTAGTTTACTGTCAACCTTCGGCGAAAGGGCGGGGTTAGTCGAGCAGTGGCGTAGCTATATAGATGGACCAACAGGGGTTTTAACAAAATGCTGTACCTATAGATCTACTAATGGAGTATGAAATTCTATGATATTCAAATATGTTTTGTGAAAATTTTAAAAAAAATTATATTATTATTACGATTATATTATACCTTTGCTTAATCTCTTTGAGTGGGCGTGGCACTGGAAAAGGGTGGTGTGGGTAGGAAAATAGAAAGCAGTGTTTCCGAACATGTGTGCATTCTGTTAGTTGATTGCCTAAGCGTCCGTGCCTGCGGTTACATTCTGTTGATTCCTGTTGGCTTTTCCCCACCGCCTACCTCCTTTATTGTCCTTTTTTGTGCTGTGGTTAGTTTTATAGCTCTTACCATTTGGTTTTATGATGCAACCAACTGCGTCCTTATGCATAAACTTGAAATTCATTTTCTGCTTTTTGCCAGGCGGCTGACCCATTTTTTCTGTTCATACTTAGGATGTGGAAATTTCCCAAGGTGAAAACCACAGTTTAGTTATTATAATGTTAGAAATTCCGTTTTTCATACCTATTGATTAGTTAGAAAACATAAAAGTTGTTATAGTTATGGAAGTTTATATTTTAAGTTAATGTAAATCATCAAATGTTATGATTAAACATTGTAATTTTTTTTAAACTAATATATCTAGTAAAAGAAATACGAAATTTATTGTATAAAAACATTTACGTATGTCTTTCGCTTATAAGTACTTACCTCTTATATGGCACTTACTATTTTATGATATATTATTATATTTTGTTGGGAAAGACTTCCTAAGCATTAGATACCCAATAAAAAGCTTGGCATAACAAAGACAATTATCCGAAGATATTACATTACACAATAATACACAGAGAAAACTATCTAAGAACATTGTTCTTGAATTGAGCACATTGTTCTTGAATTGAGAACATTGTTCTTTAATTGAGAACATTCGTTCTTAAAAACCGTGTAAGTACTTTTTGTTATCAATATAAGAACGAAATGGTGAGAAGAGAAAAGTTAAATTAAGTTTATTTAACAACTTTTTGATAAGTATATACTAAGGACTGAACTAATAGTTTATTTGTACATACAATTTACTTAAATACCGCCAATTCAACTTGATTGGAGCAAAATAAAAACATTTTCAACTAAAAAATTTCGTTCTATTTTTAAGAACAATTTCAACTCAGATTAGAACGTCAGAATTTTCTCTGTATACATGGGATCCTTTCAGTATTATCCCCAAAAAGTTTTAAAGCTAAAACCGTAACTGACCAGTAATCTCAACCCCTGAAAGCTGACCCTTGCATTCCCATCAAAGGACAGGCAGTCAACACATTTTGCCCCTGCCGCCACGTGAGTAAAATTGCTAATCATCTGGGGGGGATGAAGGACATGGACATGGACATGGCCATCCGTGTTTGAGTGGTGACCCCCGGTTATGGCGGCCTGTTCCTGGGGAGTGACAACTCATCATTCCGGCGTTGTAGTCGAGGACTTTAATGTGCTTAAGCGTTACGAGCATGAGCAAACATTATTGTCTCGTGGGAATCGGTAAATTGGTGCTGAGTGCAGGACTTTGGATTGGCATTGAAGTTGTGGAAGTGACACTTTGATAACCCCAGCCACAACCTCAAACGCCCACTTTTTACTTTGACAGACACTAATGGGTGTTTGTGTGTGTGTGGTGGGTGTTTGTTTGTCAGCTTGGGGAAATTGAGGATAATGGAAAATATATAAATAGCACAAGGGACAAGTCAGTCCAAACAGAATTTTAAATCTGTAATTTAAAGAGATTTTTGTATGCAAAGGGTTGAAATTGTTCCAACAATTCTAACAATCTATAGTTCATATTTTTAAAAAAATGATTTGATAAAAAATTTAATCAGGATGCAACAGCTTAACATAATGTGTTAATACTTAGGATTCATGTTTTCGGGCTTATCTACATGGAACGCGTTGTTGGCCTCAATAAGAATTGTAATTATTCACACTGTTTTATGTTACATATACATATCTGTCATAAAAACATTTTATTTTGAAATGGTTTTATTATTTGATATAGCAAGCAAATGATAGTCCGCTAAAAAGTATGCAACGTTTAAGCCTTGCGTACGTTCCAATTAATAATAAATAGTAATTCTCTTTAACTTCTTTATACTCGGGAAGCTGTTCCACCTAGAAATAATTATACGAACTATTTCTGTATTTGGGTTCTGTATTTTGGTCCTTTCACCTACTTATTTCTTTTAACTTTTTAATAAAATAAATAACCTTTTAAGATATTTCTAGGCTACCTAACATTTTGTATTCTTTGTGTTAAAAATTCCTTTATTTTGGCACAGTCATAGAATATTTGAAAATCAGAACACTAATCACAACAACTTCTTATCAGCTCTGTTTCTTTGAACAAAGCTTTGTGGCTCATCAAAACAATCCGCCGTCCCAGGTCAGTTGTTAATCTAACTTAAAGCTGATCAGTGCTACGGAACCCAATGTCAACCCCCAATAATCCATATAAGGGATTACTGCTGTGCAGTTTTCTGGCAATATTGCAGTGTATATCCGCTGAGGTGGGAAAACTGGTCTGCTTCTACGATGCTAAGAGTTTTGTGCGTGAAGGTGAGTTGTGAGAGTTTCTAATCTATATGTGCCAAGGAGATCAGGGGTTATCTTTTCACGTACTTAGGCCCCGCCCAAATGTCGCTGGCCGAACTAGAGCCTGCCCTACAGTTTTGCAACTTTTTGGTCTATGGCTATGCGGGCATCGATGCCGAGACCTACAAGATCAAGAGTTTGGATCCTTCGTTGACACATGACCACCAGCATTATCGTCACATTACCGCTTTGCGCCAGAAATTTCCCCATGTAAGATTCCTGCTCTCGGTGGGCGGAGATAGGGATTTGGACAACGGGGGCGTGGCGGATACTGACAAGTACCTCAGATTACTGGAACAGCCGGAGCATAGGAGAAGCTTCCAGGCGAGCGTGATCGCAGAGCTTAAGAATAATGGCTTCGATGGACTCGATCTCGCCTGGCAGTTCCCCAAGAACAAGCCCAAAGTTCAGCAGGGTGTGTTTAAGAGGGTTTGGGGATCTGTTCGTGGCTGGTTTAGTTCTCCATCGGTGGATGAGAAGGCCGAGGAGCATCGGGAGCAGTTCGCCACCCTTCTTGGAGAGCTGCAATCGGATTTGCGACGCAGTGGACAACTCCTGACCGTGACCATGCTGCCCCATGTTTCAGCAGAACGTGAGTAAAATATAAACCATCATGATAGCGTTTTCACATTCTAATACCAAAGATCTTTTTAATTAAATGATAACAGATCGAAATTGAAGATTTTTTTTGTTATTCGATTGTTTTGAGTCATTCACATTTTAAAATATAAAATAAAACGGGAAAACGTCTTTTGAGGGTGCTAATTTTCCTTGTTTAGTTATGACTCATATGAAAAACGTTTAACACATAGGCGTATTTACGTCGTTCTTTAGCTCTTTTAAATTCATAATGTTATTTTAACAAATCTATGCTTAGGGGCGGCTCACATATTACGTGACGCGGGTAAATAGAACCCTCTTCCCCCTTGGTGACACATTGTAACACTAATCCCCACCCCGCTGTGACATTTTTTTTCACTACCCCAATCCCCCCTCAGCGCGTCACGTAATATGTCAATAGCCCCTTAATAATATTAACAATTATATAATATTTAATACTGGGCATAATTTAAAAATAATTGACGAGTCCGTAAAATGTTTAAAACCTTTTTGACTCACATGTCCGTCGTATGTAATGTGTCGGAAGTCAAAAGACCGGGGATTAAAATGTATTTAGATAAAGAGTTATTAAACTCTTTTAAAATTTTTAATTATATTAAACCCAGGAATAAATCAGTTTTTCGTTAAACGTATTTATTAAGTACTACTTAAGTTATAAAAAGTGTTTACAAACATATTCCCTTCCCACAGTCTTCATTGATGTTCCCAAGGCTCTTGGCCACGTGGACTTTGTCAACCTGGGCACCTATGACTTTCAGACCCCGGAACGAGATCCAAAGGTGGCAGATCTTCCCGCTCCACTATACGCCATGTATGATCGGGATCCCAGCCATAATGTTCAGTATCAGGTACAGTATTGGATGAACCAAACTTCCGAAATCAGTGCCCACAAGCTGCACGTGGGTGTGGCCAGTTATGGACGTGCTTGGAATATGACTCGAAACTCTGGAATCACGGGCTATCCACCGATTCCAGCGGCAAATGGTGCTGCTCCGGCGGGAAGGCAAACTGTTACTCCTGGATTACTGAGTTGGCCGGAAACGTGTGACTTGCTCCAACAGCAGCCGCAGGATCGGGAGGTGCCCCATCTTCGCAAGGTGGGTGATCCCACCAAGCGATTCGGAATCTATGCCTATCGGGCGGCCGATGACCAGGGGGAAAACGGCCTGTGGGTGGGCTACGAGGATCCTACAACGGCGGCCATCAAGGCTGGTTTTGTCCAAGCCCAAGGATTGGGCGGAGTGGCCTTCCACGACCTATCCCTGGATGATTTTCGAGGTCAGTGTGCCGGTGAGAAGTTTCCCATTCTGCGAAGCATTAAATATAAGCTATGAGTCTGCTTAACAAGGAAATGAGACTATAGCACAGACAAACCTCTGTTGACCTATTATAAAATTTGTAAAAACGACCTTCTGCCCACATGCAAGATCTTTTAAAAATATTAACGATATAAATAAAACGACTATTGAATATCTTAAACCCTCTTTATGTTGGGTAGAAAAGTTAATGAAAATTAGGGACAAAAAACAAATCACTAAATCCTTGATAATAAATAATGAGTTGTTTTTATATTCTTTATATAAATAAATGAAGAAATACTAATAAATAAAGGATTCCAAACATAAATTTTTACTTACGATTATTAAATACAACCTGTTGAAACCTGATCCCCATTTAAATTGTCCCTATTGTCTCTATTTAATTGTCCCTATTTTGCCAAGAAAACAATTTAACTGTTCTAAATTTAAAAAAATATATACATTAAAACTTGATTACGAATTAATTTTACCAAAAATTGCACATGTATGTGATATGAGGAAGACTATAATTATCTAAGGTCTATGTTTCACAGCTTTCTTAAGCTTTCATAGTTTCTTTTGCTCGGAAAAATACAAAGTATCCGAGTTTTTTCAAGAGAAGGCTACAATAAATTAATACGACCCTCTCTACAAAGATGTTGATCCAAAAAAGAAGGCGGGGCAGGAAATAAACTGGCAAAGTGGAAGGCTGTAAGGCGGAAAAGGAAAAAGTAAAAGCGTCCCGCCACGAAGGCAAGTGAAGTGCCAGGCGAAGCGTAAAGCAAAGCAAACTTCTCAAATGCCACTGACTCGGTGGGTGGGATGTGGGCTGTTTAGGGCACAAGGACGAAGGGCGCCATTGGGGTGGCTGGGTGTCTGGGTGACAGGGTGGCCCAAAGTAAAAGTTGAAATTAAACCAATTAGTTTGCCTGCCACCGCTCTCGACGCCGTCGCCGCTGCAATGAGGCGCATAAAACCTGGCGACGCAAGGTAAGTCCCTGAGATGCCCACCCAGGCACGAGTTCCTCAATCCGGGCCTTGAGATTTTCCTGCTTCGTGACTATTTTGTGTTAATATTAAGTACAAAAAATAATCAAGCCATTCATTTATAAACGTTCTAGTTTTCTTATAAGGTTTTTTTGTGAAGGAAGCGTTGCTCTGACAATTCCCAGTCTTAATGTTAAACCATTTCACAATAATTTCACAAATATTTAAACAATATTATAATGATAACGTAAAAAGAAAACATTTTTAACAATAAAAATAGTTTTACTTCTATCTAAAAAATTTAATAGCTTTACTCACACATTACCTATTCTAATTTAACACCTACTTTTGCCTACCATGAACACGAAAAAAATGTGATACCATCAAATGATTTAAAAAACCAAACTTAAATAATAGTATACTTTGAGTTTAAACCGGATATTCCGTGATTGCGTGATTTAAGTTTGGCTCACGACAGCACCTCCTACAGGACACTTGCGGGGATGAAAGCGGACTACACCCAGCAGGTATTTAGACTTGGGCTCCCTTTTAAGAGTATTTTAAACGACGACGCGGTCCTTTTGGAGGAAGGGCCGGGAGTTCGAAGCCCGAGTGTAGATAAGAGGCAAATTCGGAAGTGGCGAGGAGCCAGGGAGGTGGGGAGTTGGGGAGTTGGACGGCTAGCTGCTTCGGCGAATGGCGCCGTCATAAATTAATTATGATTTAACAACTTTAGCATGCACGACACGGCAGGAAAACTTTGCGCTTTTCATGCCCTCGCCTTCTTCTATTTTGTGTCGCTTTGTGGAGGGGAAAATTTTATAATTTTAATGAGCGCAAAAAAGTTGTAAACTTTTGGCCGCGTTGCCATTGGAAATGCACTCCACGCACCCGGAAAGAACTTTATCAAGGGAAAGATTCATAGATATGTGCACAAGAAGGCGCAAATTCCTGCGAACAAGCACCTTTGCCGGTCAAGCATCCTTATCAATGAACACAAAAGTGCCAAAAATGTATTAACTCTCTGCACAAAGCAACATTTTTTGAAATGAAACAAAAACACTTACTAACGAGGTATAAAACTAGTGACGAACGAGTTCCTTGTACAAAAGTTCTATCAACTTTTGTGACGAATTTTTTTTTTTTTAATCTGCACTATTTTTTATACCCGTTACTCGTAGAGTAAAAGGGTATACTAGATTCGTCGGAAAGTATGTAACAGGCAGAAGGAAGCGTTTCCGACCCCATAAAGTATATATATTCTTGATCAGGATCACTAGCCGAGTCGATCTAGCCATGTCCGTCTGTCCGTCTGTCCGTCTGTCCGGATGAACGCTGAGATCTCGGAAACTATGGGAGCTAGGCTATTGAGATTTGGCGTGCAGATTCCTGAGCTTCCTACGCAGCGCAAGTTTGTTTCAGTAGACTGCCACGCCCACTCTAACGCCCACAAACCGCCCAAAACTGTGGCTCCTACAGTTTTGATGCTAGATAGAAAATTTTAACTGAAATGTAATGTTCTCATCAATACCTATCGATTGACCCAAAAAAAAGTTTGCCACGCCCACTTTAACGCCCACAAACCGCAAAACCCTGTGACGCCCACAATTTTCATGCTAGATAAAAAATTTTAACTGAAATGTATTGGTCTCGTCAATACCTATCGATTGATCCAAAAAAAAATTTGCCACGCCCACTCTAACGCCCATAACGCTTAAATCTGTATACCGCCGGTAGGTGGCGCATTTTAATATCGCTTTGCTGCTTGCATATCTCCATTTAGCTGAGTAACGGGTATCTGATAGTCGAGGTACTCAACTATAGCGTTCTCCCTTGTTTTTTATTGTACTATTACAATGAAAAGGAATCTTACATCTGGAAAAAATGTACAGCTCATTTACACCAGTAGAACACGAACCGAGGATATTCACATGTAGGATTTTTTCTGAGCGGGACGAATGAATGAATTAAAGATTGTGTATTTTAGTTGTCAATTTTTATTTCCCGCCAAACTAGCAGGTTTTTCCAAAATTGGTAGTAAATCTTCCGCTAACTACAAAAATTTATTAAGAACTTTTTTTACCAGTTCGACATGCATAGTTTTTATTGCATTCAAATAAGCATGAATGAATTTTAAATATTCTGAGTCGAAACGGGTTTGAATTTTTGTCGTGAGTTTTTGTCGTAAGAAATTTACGAATCTTGAGTTCTATATAGTTTTAAGTTAAAAAAAAAAACGGTTGAACCAATTTTGAAAAAAATTTTGTCTATTTTTGTGGTAAAGAATATATTTTAGCTGTAACTTTAAATCTATTGTGAAAATTTAATTTTTAATTACCTTTGCGGCTTTAGTTGCCTAGAATCTATAAGTCCTAAAAATCTTTTTTGTGCATATTCCGCCGGTTTTTCCAAAATAGGAGAACAAAAGTTTATTATTTCAAGCTTCTTAATATACAAATAATGTCCCCAAGACCCTAAAATGGATTCATACAAGCCCATAAACAAACTGCCGTCCAAAGTGATATTATAAAATGTATATGTAGTTATATATGGCTTTTTGTCCACTTTGGAGTATATTTTTTAAAATGTATCTTTCTTTTAAATTGTATCTTGCATCAAATTTTTTTTGGTCATTACAAAAAAAATGAACGACTCGTAAGGCCTTTTTACATATAATTTTATTTAGAAGCATTTCTAGCTTTACAATGAAGAAAAAGGATCTGAGTTCACTGTTTTCCAGCACCGCTCTTGATGTCCTCGAAGGCCTTTTGCCACAGCTTGTCGAACTGTTTGGGAAGCTTGGCGCGGATTTTATCGGCCAGCAAGCGGGCTCCTCTTAAGTTGTCCTCCTCGTAGAAGGGCAATGAGGAAAGGCGAGCCAGCCAGGCGGATAACTTAGGGTACTTGGTGTCTTCCACGGGGCAGTAGCTCAGATGCAGGGTGCTCACAGTGGCCACAATGCTAAAGTCGGCGATGGTCAATTGGGGACCGGCCAAATAGGGATTATCCGCCAGAAATTGCTCCATCAATGCGTAGGCATCACGCAACTCAGCCAATCTAACCTTGGGCACCTCGGTGGCATTCTCCTTGAAAAGAGCTCTCTGCAGCTGCTTGAAAATGCCGTGGAAGAGGACACCGGTCTCGAAGTGCAGCCGCTGATCCACAACGGCCCGCTGCAGTGGCTCCTTGGGATAGAGCTCGTCCGACTGGGAGTACTTGTTCACCAGATATGCGATGATGGCATGCGAGTCCCATATGCACGACTCACCATCCTCCAGCATGGGCACCGTGTGCTGCGGATTCTTGCGCAACATTTCCGGCTTTAGATGATCACCGGCCTGCATGTCCAGCGGGCGGAACTCGTGCTCCAGCTGGAGGGCACGAAGAGTTAGGAGAACGGCCCGAACCGGCGGACTGGACTCAGTGCCATATAGAATCAGGTTGACCATCTTGGTTACTTCACTTTTTGCCTTGTACCTGGTTAAATTGAGATTCGTCGCGAGCAAGGGGCCATCTACAACTGACTCAAGGTAGACAAAAAGATTTTAAACTCTACCCTCGATAAGATTAGATACTAAACTTAGTTTCGTTATAATTATCACAAAGACGTCATAATGCTGCAAGTTTAAGTTTGGCTGATTGTTTATTAATGCCCGAGATAAGTCGGTCTGCTATCTGTAGCTCGGTCAATATTTGGCAAACGTCGCCGTGATTTTTGTAATCATGGGTGGAGAACCAAGGGGGCAGCTAAAAAAATATTTATACACTTGTCATTACATTAATTTTTGATTGATAATAAAAATATTAGCTTTAAAATCGCAAATTTTTATTTATTTTATTTACATGACTTAAATATAGTAATTTTTATAGTTAATTCTTTTTAAGTTGTTGTCCCTCACTTTGCATGTTTTGAAGAAATAATAAAGTAGGTTTGAATTTTGTATTCCCAAGCTTTGCTTTCGCTTTTAAGAACTTAAAGCTTCGTTAAGAAGTCTGGAAAAGCTATAATTCATGGATATTCTACATGCAGTAGACCGAAAAACTAGATTAGTATAGTGATACATTTTTAAAACAGTGTACTATCATCCATCAAAAGTTTTGCCATGAAAAAAAAGGCACAGAGTTTCCAGAACTATATACCAATCCAGCCCATTTATGATGAAATAATAAACATATATAGAAATTCATTTAGATGAATTTCCGTATAGTTCAATACCAGTTATCGACATGGCGAGTTATTTATCCAACAAAACTTGTGTTTAGACATCTTATATGTATATACTATTTTGACAAAAGCTTTTTTGCGAATATACACGTTAAAGCTGTCGTGTTCGTCTACATATATTGAGTATGTTTTTTTCTTTAGGAAATAAGATTTATTCAATACCTTACGACTTAGCTCTTATTAGCGATGGTAAAAAATAAAAATGTTTAAAAAAGAACCAGTAAACGAATACAATACTGTTACACAGTAAAGAATGTATAGCAATTTAAAGAAAAACTTTGTTCTGCTAAATATTTTTAATTTTTAAAATGTTAATGTTTGTATAGAAACAAACAAACACCATAGTCCAAGCTTTTATCTATAATTTTTGCACCGCTCTCACATTCAGCAAAAAGCTCTGGGGAAAAGGTATATAGTAAATACAGAGAAGATCAGTCATAATAAAAGCATTGCTGGATAAACAACGCAAAATGTCGAGTTCGGGAATTGTACTGTATGGAGTGGACCTAAGTCCCTGTGTGAGGACCGTCAAACTGACTCTCAAGGCCCTGAATTTGGACTACGAATACAAGGAGGTGAACCTACAGACGGGTGAGCATCTTCAAGAGGATTTCCTTAAGAAGAACCCCCAGCACACGGTGCCGGTACTGGATGACAACGGAACTATCCTCTGGGACTCCCACGCCATTGCCGCCTACTTGGTAGACAAGTACGCCAAGTCCGACGAGCTGTATCCCAAGGATCTGGTCAAGCGGGCGATCATCAATCAGCGTCTGTTCTTCGACGCCAGCGTAATCTTTGCCAATTTGGCCAACGTGAGTGGTCCCTTCTGGGTGAACGGAATCACTGTGGTGCCCCAGGAAAAACTGGACAACCTACATAAAGGTCTGAAGCTGCTGGAGACCTTCCTCGACAGCACTCCTTATCTGGCCGGCGATTCACTGACCCTCGCCGACCTGAGCACTGGACCCACTGTTACCGCCCTGCCCGCTGCTGTGGACATTGATCCTGTGGTCTATCCCAAGGTCACCGCCTGGCTGGATCGCCTTAACAAGATTCCCTACTTCAAGGAGATCAACGAGGGTCCGGCTCAGGGATATGTCAACTTTCTTCGCAGCCAGTGGACCAAACTAGGTGATAAGTGAGCCATGCACTGATACTGAATGAAAAGTACTACAACGAAAATACGAGTAATAGCACTTTATTTATATTTCATCCGTTACCAATTTGTACCTACTAATGTATAACATTAACATTTTAAAAATTAAAAATATTTGGTAGAACAAAGTTTTTCTTTAAATTGCTATACATTCTTTACTGTGTAACAGTATTGCATTCGTTCACTGGTTCTTTTTTTAACATTTATTGAATGAATATTATTTCCTAAAGAAAAAAAACATACTCAATATATGTAGACGAAGGGGAAGTTATCAACGCATATCTAGCACCCACGACAGAGCTTTAACATGTATATTCGCAAAAAAGCTTTCGTCAAAATAGTATATACATACATAAGTCCCTGTGTGAGACCTGCAAAACTGTCCCATGAAGACTGGAATTGGATTGTGAATTCAAGGTTAATATCCAGGTGGGCCACCTTTTGAGAGAAGATTACCTAACGGACTAAAGGGACTTTCCTGTGGGACTTCCGCGCCTTTTTATGTTAATGGAATAACTTAGGTGTCCCAGGAGAAACTGGAAACTATCATTCGGGGTCTTCAATTGCTGGAGACTTTCCTGACTACCAGTGAATATCTAGCGGGTGATTCGCTGACCATCGTAGATTTATGCTCTGGTTCTGTTGGTAGTGCCGTGCCTTTTGATCGACTCAATATGATACCCTATTATAGGGAACTAAGAATTTAGTCGCCTTTTTCCGCAGCAAGTAGACCAAGTTGGGCGATCAGTGAGTACCATAAATAAAGAAATAATTCATATTAATCAGTTGCTTCGTGGAGTTTACAATTTCTCCTTGACCAAGACAATCCATTCTTATTCATAATGCATACACATCATATCACGAATGATTTTAACATTAACGAAAGTTGGTGGTTGTAGCTTTAAGTGGGGCACGCGCTAATTCCGGATCTTGTTTCGTCGGTAGAGGGAGTAGGTTTCCAATTTGATCCACCGTCCATATACCACGCAGACAAATTTTAAGCACTTTAAGCACTACCATGATCACCGAAGCTGCATAACCTGACACTGGTTGGTGATCCCTTCACCACACACCTAACTCCTAATCGTCTTCCTTGATGCAAGCTTCCATAAAAATAAATTTAGCAGTTTAAGTTTATAATATTTTTAATATGAGAAAAATAATACTAACAAAGGTAATCATTAAATTTAAAAAGTTGGGTATCATATAAAGCATACGTTAAATTCATATTAAAGAGGTATATTTAAATCAAAGCAAAAAAAAATTCGAATTTAAACACTAATTTAGAATATTAAATTTAATTTCATCACTGAACAAGTATTTATGTCATGGCGGAATTTGTTTTATATCAAGATCATTGGAATATATGTACACAGTCAATCAAAATATAGCATAACGACCGGAGCCGATCACTTACCCACCATATCCAACGTTGAAAGCGCTTTCAATATGGGTGTAATTTTTGTTTATAAATCAAGAAATTTCATTTCAAAATATTGGGTGCATTTTATATTTAAAGTTTTCTTCTCATAATTGCTTTTATAAAAACAACGAACTGATACAGCCGACGATTTATATTGTTGAATAGAGTGTCTATAGAATGGTGCTGTTGCATTCAGTATTCCTCCAATATTTTTCTCTTTTTCTATTAGGTTTGTTTCAAACAATTGTTTCAAGCAAACCTAATAGAAAAACAGAAAAATATTGGAGGAATACTGAATGCAACAGCACCATTCTATAGTCATTTTAATCAACAATATAAATCGTCGGCTATGTCAGTTCGTTGTTTGTATAAAAGCAATTATGAGAAGAAAACATTAAATATAAAATGCACCCAATATTTTGAAACAACAATAATTGTACGTGTATTGCCAAACGGTGAGATTGAGCAAACAGTTGTCGAAAAAAGCCCCGACACAAAAAAAAAGAAAATAAATCCGGTTTTACTATTATTTGTACATGGGTTCGGAATAGCGCAAGTAAAAAGTGAATATGATATCTAAATTCCCTAGTAAACGGAATTTAAATACTCTTGATTTGATCTCGTTGTAAACGAAACATTGAAAACCAAAGTAAATTTAATTTTTGAACTAAATAACGCATTTGTGGAAATGATCCAACAACAATACCAAGATTAACATGACAATAGATTTAAACGAGATGTGGTATACGAGCGAATGCCAAATTCTTTCCCCACGGTCGATGATGGAGTTGAAAATTTTCGCCGAGACTTAATTTTAAAAAAACAGGATATTGGTGGAATAATTGATGCGCCCACTGTGGTTTGTAGATATTTCAAACTACAATACTCGAGAAGTGTTGTCAATATTCGATGCAGTTATCATAGCGATTTCAAAAATAAGACATTGCTAATTTATTGTCATCACTATAATGCTGCAAGCAATGTCAATCAGCGAAACGGAAACGCTTCCTTCTGCCTGTTACATACTCTCCGACGAATCTAGTATACCCTTTTACTCTACGAGTAACGGGTATAATTATTGATTTCATTCAAAAATACCTACACATTCTGTCGCCTGAGGATAAGGAAAATCTTCTAAGTATACGTTTGCGATTAAAACATATTACAAATTTGAATATTACCTTTAATCAAATAAAAACAAATAAAGAAATGAACACAACTGATGCTGATGATGATGAAGTAGATTATGAAAAAGAACTTGTAGCTGATGATGATAATAATGATGATGATGAAGTAGATTATGAAAAAAGAACTACAAGAACTACAATAATGATGATGATGAAGTAGATTGTGTAAAGAACTACAAGTTCTCACAAGAACTACAAGTTCTTTTTCACAATCTAGTTCATTATCATCATTATCGTCATCATCAGCATCAGTTGTGTTCATCTCTTTATTTGTTTCAATTTGATTAAAGGTAATATTCAAATTTGTAATAAAGAATGTTAGAACATTCCAAGTACGTTCAACTAAAATTGATTGATGAGCATGACGCATTACAAATTATGACTTCCTATCTAATTTTGTAAGTATATCAATAATACATATATATACGCTACATATGCCTTACAATTATTTTCTTTGTTTTATTTTAGGTCGACATATTCGATCTGAATAATAGGAGTCTTTCTGTTGTGTATTAGAGAGGGAGAGAGAGAGAGTATGATTCATTCTCAGTTAGATTAATTTATCTTTGTTCAATTTATCAATTGATAAATTAAACAGGCGTTTTAAAAATGTTATTAATGTCAAAAGCAGTATCATCGTTTGTAATCACACCAACTTTCGATTTTTCTGTTGCTGTTGCCGAGGTTGTTGTTACTGTTAACAGTAGAAGCACTACTTTCTGCCAGTGATTTGTAGGCCTTACGCACCATCAGAAAACTGTTCATGGTGAGATCTTGGACTGTAATGCGACGTTATCGCTATTTGAGCGAGAGAATGACAAAACCTCTCGACAAAATGTAAATATATATATATATATCAATAAATACTTATTTGTGTCCGGAACAATCTTCATTGGTCGTCATCATTTCAGCTTAAGGCTTGCGATAACTGCATGCTTGGAAAAAAAATAAAAACCATAATGCGCGGTGTGTAATAACTACACACTGACAAAAAAAATCTTGTTTCTTTTCAGTCTACATTGGAATATTTTAATATTCACTTATTATTCCATTGTACACTAAACAAAAAAAATATCTAAAGCCTTCAACGATCGTGTGCATGGGGAAAGGGAAGTGGAACGATAAAGGAGGAATGATTAAATGCTTAAAAGGTAGAAATGAGGATGGAGAATATTCTAGAAAATGCTACTAACAAAAGTAATCATTAAATTTACAAAGTTGGGTATCAAATAGAGTTTACGTTAAATTCATAATGAAAGGGTATATTTAAATCAAAGCAATAAACAAATTAGAATTTTAACACTAATTTAGAATAGTAAAATTAATTTTATCACTGAGCAAGTATCTATGCCATGGGGGAGTTTGTTTTATATCAAGATCATTGGAATATATGTATACATTCAATCAAAATATAGCATAACGACCGGAGCCGATCACTTACCCACCATATCCAACGTTGAAAGCGCTTTCAATATGGCTGTAATTTTTGTTTATAAATCAAGAAACTTCATTTCAATTGACTGTGGTTTGACATAAATTGGGGAAAAACCCTTCTAAGGGCCTAAACACTTGCTTGCATGGCGAGATTTCCTTGTGTCATAATGGTCTTACAGTAGGTTTTGGATAATTAACGTTAACTTCTTATTATAATTTTATATTTTTAATATTAGATAAGTGAATAAAGATGATAAGATTATTTAACTAGTTAAATAGTTTTTGTGTGGCTTTTCTCCGAATCACAAATAAAAACCGGGTGTTACAGGTTTGGGACTGCCCACTTGCGCATTTTCAATAACGGGTGCGCTGTGTTGCTTGCGTGTATGTATGTCGGGTGTTGCTTTCGTGTGTGTACGACAAATGGTGCACTGAAAATTTCACAAGAATTTTCGGCGTGGACGCCAAAGTGGCCACTCTGATTGAAACTTTCGCTGCTTTATATGCACTTTCTTGATTGGCATTGTAGATTGACGCCTTTGGGTGTACGTCGAAAAGCTGATGATAATGCTGGCGCTGATCTGGGCAGAAATGGGCCGACTGGGCCGATTGGGCCGTAAGCCACGTGAAGGAGACCACTCGGCTATCAAGAATTTACCTATGAAGCGCAATATTTTATGAAAACCGGGTTTTTTTCCACGAAATATTAAACTTACTTTAATTTATCAATAGCAGCCTAATGATAACAGAAAACTTTAGCAAAGGCCGAGGATGACTGATATTTTGCAACTTTAGTTTGGGCAGATCACTAAGTTAGAGTTTAATCCCTGAAGAAAATTTGTTCAGGAGAGAACGATCTTCACACGGCCACGGTCCAAATCGGAAAAGACCGGATAATTGATTGCACCAGTAATCAGAGCTTGTTTTATGAAAGTGTGGGACCAGAGTTGCTCATGCAACTCTGTCGATTACCTCGATTTAGTTTTGTAATACATTTTGTTCGGCCGTTTTAATTTCTGGCGGCAATTTTAAATTCTGGCGGAGATTTTGAATTGTATTAAAAATGTTGTGTGTTGCAAATTTCTTCGACCAGCGCCCTACAACAATGATTACAATTAATTGATTACACTGTAAAAAAAGTTAGCATATCTTTCAGATGTATGTTTTAATTTACCAGCATTTTAAAGATACTGCTATCTGCCACTTTAAGACGTCACATAAATCTACACAATCAATGTTTCTCCTGATGAAATTTATTGAATAGCAAATAATGGTGAGCAAAGCAATATTAACTTTGAATCAAACAAACAAATAAAAGTCAGAGCTTTTTTCTTTACTCTCTAAAACGCGAGAGAGTTAGGTTAAAGCTTTTTCCTAGAGGTATAAAGAGTATGTGTCGAGAGTATCAGCAGTAATATAATCATTTTCGGTTAAACAAGACAACATGTCGAGCTCGGGAATCGTACTGTATGGAACGGACCTAAGTCCCTGTGTGAGGACTGTTCGACTGACACTCAAGGCCCTGAATTTGGACTACGAGTTCAAGGAGGTGGATCTTAAGAAGGGAGAGCACATGAGCGAGGACTACCTGAAGAAGAACCCCCAGCACACGGTGCCAGTACTGGATGACAATGGAACTTTCCTCTGGGATTCCCACGCCATCGCCGCCTACTTGGTGGACAAGTATGCCAAGTCCGACGAGCTGTATCCCAAGGATTTGGTCAAGCGGGCGATCATCAACCAGCGTCTTTTCTTCGAGGCCAGCGTAACCTATCCAGGATTGGCCAACATAGTCGCTCCCTTCTGGTTTCGTGGTGTTACTGAGGTGCCTCAGGAAAAACTGGACACGGTACATCGGGGTCTTAAGTTGCTGGAGACCTTCTTGGCCAGCGACCCATATCTGGTGGGTGATTCCCTGACCCTGGCCGACCTGGTCAGCGGACCCACAGTGAGCGCTCTTCGCGCTGCCGTCGACATCGAACCATCGGAGTATCCCAAGGTCACCGCCTGGCTGGATCGTCTCAATCAGATACCCTACTATAAGGAAATCAACGAGGGTCCTGTTCAGGGATACGTCGCCTTCCTTCGCAGCCAGTGGACAAAGTTGGGAGTCTAAATATGTAATCGACTAAAGAAAAAGCCAACACCAAAAATATATATCATTACATTTTCAATTTAATCGCTTTTAAGCCTGTATGTACTTTTTAATTAACAACTTATTATTAAATTCTAAATGTTTTATTAAGAAGTAACTGCACGAGTTTTCATTTATTTACGCTATATTTCACAATAAGTTTGTTTTGAATTAATCTGCCGAAATGTTTTAGATGACATATGTAATTAAATACATACACAGTACGCTTACGTATAGGCAGCACTTTTGTCTGTGGGTACTGCGATAATGGTTAAGTACTTCTTATCTTGTTGTCGGGGAACCCGTCTAAAGCGTTCGTTATATTTATACCCGTTATTCGTAGACCAAAAGGGTGTACTAGATTCGACGAAAAATATGTAATAGGTGGAAAGATACATATTCTTGATCAGGATCAGCAGATGAGTCGAACTAGCCATGTATGTCTTTCTGTCCGTATTAGCGCTGAGAACTAAACTAAACTGAACTATAAAAGCTACAGTGTTGGGATTTGACAAGCAAACAACTGAGGTTCTTGCGCAGCTCAAGATTATTTCAGAAGGGTGCAACGGGTAATTACCAATACCCATCTAGATACCAAAAATTGTTCAAATCGGACCATTCATTAAAAAGTTATAAGTATATATAGTGTGCAGTAAGGCCGATTTGCTGCATGCATATCTGCATCTCCCTCGCACTCCCTTTAACTGAGCAACAGGTATCTAATAGTCGAAGCCGTCGACTGTAGCGTTCCTTCTTGTCTAATTACTTTTTTTCCCTATAGTCTTAACTTTTATCTATGTTCCAGTTTATTTCGTCAGTGTACAATTGCAACATATTATTGAAGAGAGAAATGGGGCTGATTCCGCACAACCAATTGCTTATTTAAGTTAATTTAGACATCTGTATGTTCGTTATTATGAGGTTTCAGTGGAACTTGAGTCTTCTTTGTGATCGCATCATGACGGGTATTTTAGTGTTGTATGGCACGGATATAAGTCCGCCAGTCCGGGCTTGTAAACTGACTTTGAGAGCCCTGAACTTGGACTACGAATACAAAGAAATGGATCTTCTAGCCGGAGAGCATTTCCACGAAGAGTTCCTCAAAAAGAACCCTCAACACACGGTGCCGCTCCTGGATGATAATGGATCCCTCATCTGGGACTCACATGCCATCGTTTGCTACCTGGTGGACAAGTACGCCACATCAGATGAGCTTTATCCCAGGGATCTGGTAAAGCGGGCTCAAGTCGATCAACGATTGTTCTTTGATGCGAGTATCTTATTCATGTCCCTGCGGAATGTTAGTATTCCGTATTTTGTTCACCAAGTAAATCTGGTGCCCAAGGAGAAGGTAGATAACATCAAAGATGCCTATGGTCATTTGGAGACCTTTCTTGGAGATAATCCCTATCTGAATGGAACCACTCTTACTCTGGCTGATTTCTGCTGTGGAGCTACTGCCTCTTCACTGGCCGCTGTTTTAGAACTGGATCAGGAAAAATATCCGAAGGTGGCGGCTTGGCTCAAGCGACTATCTAAGTTACCTCATTACGAGGAGGATAACTCCAGGGGCTTAGTAAAATACATAGAACTGCTCAAACCCAACCTAAAACTAGAGCAATAGTAGGTTGCAAAGCGTTATATAGTTATATAATGGAAAAAATATGATCAAAAACATAAAGTCAAATAAACAAATAGCAGATAATATTTGAGCATCATTTTGTTTCTTCAACGTAACTTAAAGTATGTGCTAATGCATTTCCAATTGTCTTAAAGCCATTAATTTATTCTAAATAATGAATTGCCAAATTTTGAAAGACCCTATACGGTAGAATTTTTATGACGCTTTAACCAGGTTTATATTATATCGAATACACTGCCGTTTGTTACTTAAAGCAAAATAATAAATGGAAATATGCTTAGGTTTGTTCATTTAATTGTTTGTGAGAAAAAACAGAGAAAATAAAAAGTAATAATGAATTTGTATAAATTGTATAACTGTTAAAACTTAAATACTGCTCCTTTTAAGGTTCCCAAAACTGCTGATTCATTACTTTACGATGTGTCGCTCGATAAACAAGTTATTGGCCCCTAGGCGACCCTGTTATTATTAGAAATATTTATATATTGAACCAAAAGAGAAAAAAAAGCTCTCTTACGTCAAAAGAGTATTGTGAAATACACAGTTCAAACAAGTGAGCTCAGCGATATACGTGTGGGTTCCAAACACAATGTTTAGGTTAAAATGCAGAGTCATCACAACGTTGCAAAGCTCTCTTAACTCAAGAGAACTGGCTAGGGGCTATATAAAGCCCCATGGGTCGAACTGTTTCTTTAACATTTACTAGCCAGACCCGAAACACCAACGAAATGGGAAAACTTACGCTCTACGGAATCGATGGAAGTCCTCCAGTCCGCTCGGTGCTCCTCACCTTGAACGCCCTGGGTTTGGAATTCGAGTACAAGATCGTCAACCTGCCGGAGAAGGAGCACTTAAAGCCAGAGTTCCTTAAGATTAATCCCCTGCATACGGTGCCCGCATTAGATGACGATGGTTTCTACCTGGCCGACAGCCATGCCATCAACTCCTACCTGGTGAGCAAGTATGGCAAGGATGATGCTCTGTACCCCAAGGATCTGAAGAAGCGAGCCATTGTCGATCAGCGTCTGCACTACGACTCCAGTGTGGTCACGTCCACCGGAACAGCTATTACGTTCCCGCTCTTCTGGCAAAACAAGTCGGAGATTCCACAGGCCAAAATCGATGCCCTGGAAGGTGTGTACAAGTCCCTGAATCTGTTCCTGGAAAGTGGCGAGTATCTGGCTGGAGACAACCTGACCATTGCCGATTTCCACATCACTGCCGCCCTTACCGGCTTTGTGGTGTTCCTGCCAGTGGATGCCACCAAGTATCCCAAACTTGCTGCCTGGTTCCAGCGCATCAAGAAGCTGCCCTACTACGAGAAGGCCAATGGCATTCCGGCTACCCAAATCATCGAGTTCATCAAGAGCAAAAACTTTACTATTGTCTAAGAAATCTTCTAAATTACTCAAAATAAATTATTAAAAATAAAACCAAACCTACTTGACTTTTGCGCCGCTTTACTATCAGTCAAAACTTGTTTGGTAACTATAGATAAGAGAAACTGTTGGTCATATGTGCAATCTATTCCTAAACAGGCAGACGGGGACAAACCAGATTAACTTGTAAAAGCTGTCAAACCAAAAAACTGTTTATTATTTTTTTGAAGAAACGTTCAACCACAGGGTTTACTACTTATGAATATTTTATTGTTTTAGTAAAACAAATCTACATATGTTGTCGCAATAATTTTTGTTGTTGTTTACAAGTTAAGATCAAGAGAACGTTCTTTTTTCTGAGATTTAAGAGTTGAAATTTCTGCAATTGTTTCCAATAGAAGATTTGGCCCCTGAGTAAAACTTTAATACAAGAAAACATTTTGCATGCTTTGAAAAATGATTTTCACAAATGAAAAATTTCTACAAGCGATTATAAAGGTACACGTACATACGTCGGTTCCATAACTCAACATTATCTGTAAATCAAACTCGTGTGCGATTGTCACAAGTTTTGTATCCTATTGAAGTTTTTCTTTGAATTCTTATGATGACTAATAGATCAACAGTACTTTAATCAATATCCCTTGTAATGGTTCTTTTTCGATTGTAGTGTTTACTGCGACAAAAAAAAGTCTTGTAATTAACCTATGTATAAATCATGCGTAAAGAGTAGAAGGCAAGAGCTTTAGAAGTCAAACAAAAGTTAATTATTAAAGCTCTCTAACGTCAGAGGTCTCCAACACCTATTTGTTTAATTGAAGAGCACAAAAATATTGGCTGATGTCATCGTATTGGGTTTCTGCGGTGTCATCGGTGCTATTCTAAACTCTCTTAAATTAAGAGAACCGCAGAGTGTTGGAGGCATTTCATAGAGTTACGAGCAGGAAAATCCTGTACCAAACAGGAAGATTGGAAAACTCACTCTGTATCCTCCAGTTCGCCCGGTTCTTCTAACCCTTTATGCCTTGGGTGTGGAATTCGAGTACAAGATCGTAAATCTGATGGCCGGGGAGCACCTAATGCCGAAATACCTTAAGATCAACCCTCTTCGGCCATAGAAGTTACACTGTTCCGACTTTGAAGGACGAAAAAGTACAAAATTGTGTAACCATATATAAATTATTTTATTTTCCTAATAAATTTTAAAATTTTTTTATATTTTACATATTACTAATTATTAATAATAATTTACACTTATAAGTGTAATTATTATTAACAACTACACTTATTATTTTTATTAAACTAATAAGCATAACTTCTTCAACAATACAAAGAATTCATATTTTTAGTTAGTATGTGGAGATATCGCAGAAAAGAATTCTAAACATCTTCCGAAACAAAAACAAGAACATACATACATATGTATAAAAGACGGCGCCTTGATATGTTTACAATAACTCCCCCACATCCAATAACTTTTCATCAGAACTGAATTCAATAGTAAACACTCCTCGGAGACGGAGAGTACTTTGGACTATGGCCCCACCCAGGATCATCTTTCAAGTTCTTTGGAAGTGGCGTGGATGCACTGAATCCGCACCCTTTCGAAGCCCTCAAAAACGTATATAAACTTCGGCAAGCCCTGGAGTCAGTATCATTTCGCTGATATCACTGATTGAGCTGGGACCATGTCTGGTATTGTGCTTTACGGATTGGACATTAGTGCTCCAGTAAGATCCTGCCAGCTGACGCTGCGAGCCCTGGAGTTGGAGTACGAGTTCAAGGAAGTGGACTTGCTGGCGGGAGAGCATCGCAAGGAGGAGTTCCTCAAGAAGAACCCCCAGCACACCGTTCCGCTGCTCGATGATAATGGGGTCCTGGTGTGGGACTCACATGCCATCGTTTGCTATCTGGTGGGCAAATATGCCAAGTCGGATGAGCTCTATCCCAAGGATCTGGTGAAGCGTGCGCTGGTTGATCAGCGTCTGTACTTCGATGCCAGTGTTCTGTTCATGGCCCTTCGGAACATCTGTGCTCCCTATTTCTACAATAATATCACGGAGATTTCCCGGGAGAAGGCCGATAATGTACGGGATGGTTATGGTCATTTGGAGACCTTCCTGGGGGACAATCCCTACGTAAGCGGGGATACCCTCACCGTCGCGGACTTCTGCTGTGCTGCCACAGCCTCTTCCCTGCCAGCTTTTGTCCAGCTGGAGGCCGACAAGTATCCGAAGGTCACCGCCTGGCTGGAGCGCCTCCAGGAGCTTCCCTATTACGAGGAGGCCAATGGGGCTGGGGCCAAGAAGTACGTGGACTTGCTGAAGGACCAGCTGACCCTTCTATAAGCAGTCTTTCCCACAAGTACCGAGTGCGTTGCTGCATCAATTTTTAATTCTTAGCTAATTAAAGAAAGTTGTTGACAAACGTGGGGCATTGCCCACACTCGCAGAAAAATTCGGGATGCCAAAAAGAAATAAATGAAAAATGCTTACATAAAGGTGGATAATACTTGGTTGGTTAATACTTTGAAATCTTAAATCAGGCACGTAGCCAGGTTTGTGAGGGATTGTTTTTGGGTGTTGAGCCTTTATAATAGTACAGAAAGTTTTTCCTAAAAAACCCCCAATGGCAACGGCGTTTAATGATTGCCAATAAGTTTGTAAATTAATCCAGTCAATTAGTAAAAATTTAAAAAAGGGTCATTCGTAAGGCCAATATCATATCACATAATGTTAGTGATTTCAAAATATAAGTTCTTTATCGAATTATTTTCTATTTTTGAATTAGTCCTTAAAGTGAAATTATTCCATTCCTTGACCACATTGAATTTATAATTTTAAGTGTAAATAATTGAATTTCAGAAAATCCCAGGGTGCTTGGCTTTAAGAGCTCTGCAGGTAATGTAGTTGGGTGTGGGCGGAGTTAATTAAAAATCCATGGCCAGATTGACGGTTCCCAAGCCCCTTAGGTTGGTATAAAATCGTCCTGGAACGGCACTTACCACTCACTTGTGAAACCACTGGAGAATGGGTAAGATATCGCTATACGGCCTGGACGCCAGTCCGCCCACTCGAGCTTGTCTGCTCACTCTGAAGGCTTTGGATCTGCCCTTCGAGTATGTGTTTGTCAATCTGTTCGAGAAGGAGAACTTCAGCGAGGATTACTCGAAGAAGAACCCGCAGCACACGGTGCCACTCCTGCAGGACGATGATGCCTGTATCTGGGAGTCCCATGCCATCATGGCCTATCTGGTGGACAAGTATGGGGCAACCGATGAGCTGTATCCGAAGGATCTCCTCCAGCGGGCAAAGGTGGACCAGCTGATGCATTTCGAGTCGGGCGTTGTCTTCGAGGCCGCCCTTAGGAGACTCACCCGCCCGGTGCTCTTCAATGGCGAGTCCACCTTGCCCCAAAACCAGGTTGACCACATCAACCAGATCTACGACTTTTTGGAGACCTTTCTCGATGATCACGATTACTTGGCCGGCGACCAACTCACCATAGCCGACTTCAGCCTCGTCTCGACCATCACCTCGATTGGGGTTTTCCTAGAGCTGGATCTGGCCAAGTATCCTAGGATTGCCGCCTGGCTGGAAAGGCTCAAGGAACTGCCCTACTACGAGGAGGCCAACGGCAGCGGAGCCGCCCAGTATGTGGAGCTCATGAGGTCCAAGAACTTTACCATTGTGCCCTAGAGAATGGTCCTACTCTATGTTAGTAAATGCAAAAAAAAGGCATCAGCACAAAATAAAAGTTCATTAGCAATCGGAAAAATCTTCACAGCGATTTAGCACTACCTAATCCAATAAAATAATTAAAGCACTCCCTTAAATGTATTGTTACAACTGTATGGGACAATTAATACCTGAACGTGAAACAATCTCACTGTCAATAAGGGTGCGCCAGAAGATCAATCACTAAAAGTGATCACTAAAAAAATACATACAAGTTTAAAATATTGTATTAAATAAATTGACTTCTAAAATGGGCTGTCTGTTGTAAATATTTTTTGGTTTTTGAAGTTTGTAGGGAATTTATAAAATATCAGCTGCGAAAATACACGGAGAGAAAAAAACAAGAACATAGTTCTTGAACTAAGAACATTGAGAACATTCGTTCTTAAGAATCGTGTAAGCAAAAATGTTCTTTAGTTGATTTTATTTCATTTTCAAATTGATTTTTTTTTTAATTCAAGCACATTTTTATAAATAAAATTTCTAAAAGTGTATTAATAAATGCAATTACGTTTTTATAAACAAGCTACTGACGGTATTAATCAATTAGTTTATTATTGAGACTGGGTTGTTTAGATAAACATTGCGATATATCACTAGGATTCGCAAGCTCAATATAAACTATCCCGATGTACTAAGTTAGCAGGAAGCTATATTTGGTTTTATGTTGATTTATAGAGAAACGGTTATTTGATAGTCGAGACACTTGTTTAAATTCGATGGAATCCAACACGCGTTTAAAATGATCGATGTGTTTACCCAAGTTCAATAAAATTATGCTGAAATATGTGAAGTTCAAATTACATAAACATGCGTACATTTAATGCCTGATATCAAACATTTTCGAGGCCTTTCTACTTTATTACCCTCCATCAGCATGACTTGTAATTTCTCATCCATCTGCTGAGTGCCTTTTATTTATTTACTTGTTGTGAGGCAAACAAAATTGATAGGCTCTTATCAAGTGAAGCTTATCTCTTTTCTATCTATATGATTTATATAGTGTTCTCTGGTGTTGTCGCGGAAAGCTTTTTAAACATTTATATAAACTCCAGTTGTTGGGGTAGGTTAAAAATAAAATTATCAAGTTAAGACTAAAGGTTAATAACCCCGGTTTTAAAAATCAAATCTACTAATTCTCACAACATGATCCAAGAACAAGTTTCGCTCAAACACGGATATACTTACTATTTGAGTTTACTAACATATGCAGCTGCATACCTTCGAATTGGCGTTAGAGATATTTTCTCGTCAACAAATCTCTCTTAGGTTTTCTCTTTCAATGAACCAAAGCCCCCTGAACAAGCTGGCCCACAGCTTTCGATCAGTTGTGAACGAGACCCCACTGCGCCAAGATGGTTAAATTGACTTTATACGGATTAGATCCCAGCCCACCAGTTCGCGCTGTAAAACTAACTTTGGCCGCTCTTAATCTGCCGTATGAATATGTAAACATTGACATTTTGGCTCGGAAGCATCTTTCTTCGGACTTCGTGGAGAAGAACCCGCAACATACGGTGCCCACTTTGGAGGACGATGGTCACTTCATCTGGGACTCACACGCAATCATCGCCTACCTGGTCTCTAAGTACGCTGATTCCGATGCCCTTTACCCGAAAGATCTGCTCCAGCGCGCTGTTGTGGATCAGCGGCTGCACTTTGAATCGGGCGTGGTCTTTGCCAATGGAATTAGGAGCATTTCCAAGCCTGTGATCTTCTTTGGACAGACCAAGGTTCCAAAGGAGCGATACGATGCCATTATCGAGATCTACGACTTTGTGGAGACCTTCCTCAAGGGAAAGGATTACATTGCTGGGGATCAACTGACCATTGCCGACTTCAGTCTCGTCTCATCGGTTTCTTCCCTTGTGGCTTTTGTGGACTTGGACCCAATCAAATATGCCAGGGTCAGTGCTTGGGTTAAAAGGCTGGAACAGCTTCCCTACTACGAGGAGGCCAATGGAAAGGGTGCCCGCCAGTTGTTGGCAATGATCAAAAAGACCAACTTTACTTTCGAATCCTAATATTTAAATTTTTGTAATTGAACTGTCATTATAAATCGGTTTATACATATATTGTTCTAAAAATAAAAGGAACTTTCTGGATTACAGTTTTCCACAGTGATATAGCTGTATTTATTATGGTGAAATGGACTTTAGCAATGAATTAAAACAAGAGAGAAGAGAACGATAGCCGGCTATCACCAGCTTTCTTATCTGCTTCTCTTGTTTCAATCAGTCTCTTTCAGAATCCAATAAATATACTATCTGTCGGGTCTGTAAGTTCAGTTGAAGAAAGCACCTCACAGCGACAAGATGGGCAAGTTGATTCTGTATGGTTTGGAGGCGAGTCCGCCAGTTCGTGCCGTCAAATTGACTTTGGCCGCCCTGGATGTACCCTACGAATTCGTGGAAGTCAACACCCTGGCCAAGGAGAATCTCTCTGAGGCGTTCCTTAAGAAAAATCCCCAGCACACGGTGCCCACTTTGGAGGTCGATGGCCACTTCCTCTGGGACTCGCATGCGATCATTGCCTATCTGGTGTCCAAATACGGAAAGACCGACAGTCTCTACCCGAAGGATCTCCTCCAGCGGGCTGTGGTGGATCAGCGATTGCATTTCGAGTCCGGTGTGATCTTTGCCAACGGTCTGAGGAGCATTACCAAGCCACTTTTTGCCGCTGGTCAGACTACGATCCCCAAAGAGCGATACGATGCGATTATCGAGATCTACGACTTCCTAGAGACCTTCCTCGGTGATAATGATTATATAGCTGGTGGTCAGCTAACGATTGCCGACTTTAGTATCATCTCGACTGTGACCTCCCTGGAGGCCTTTGTGGAGCTGGACACGGTGAAATACCCCAAGGTATCTGCCTGGATCAAGCGACTGCAACAGCTTCCCTACTACGAGGAGGCCAACGGCAATGGAGCTCGGGTATTCGGATCCTTCATCAAGAAGACTAATTTTACATTCTCAACTTAATACTTTTTTTAATATATGCTGAAAATATTTAAAAATAAATGACGTAATACTTTATAAACAAAATTTTGAATTTAAACAAGGCGTTTATGCAGAAAATACTTTAGTTATTAGACAAAAACAATAATAAAAAAAGTATTATAAGAGCGCATCAAGCTTTTTATCTGGCCCTCTTGTGGGAAAGTGGCTCTTAAACCATTCTCTTTTAAAATTAAATAAATATTTTGCCTGTTGGCACTCTAGGTTCAGTTATAGAGGAAGCCTCTTATAGACAAAATGTCCAAGTTGATTCTTTATGGCACTGAGGCCAGTCCCCCAGTTCGGGCCGCAAAACTGACCTTGGCCGCCCTTGACGTGCCCTACGAATACGTGAAAATAAATACCCTGGCCAAGGAAACTCTTTCCCCGGAGTTCCTGAAGAAGAATCCCCAGCATACGGTGCCCACTTTGGAGGACGATGGAAACTTCATCTGGGATTCCCATGCAATAAGTGCCTATCTGGTGTCCAAGTATGGCAAGAGCGATAGTCTCTATCCGAAGGATCTTTTCCAGAGGGCTGTGGTGGATCAGCGACTGCACTTCGAGTCGGGAGTGGTTTTTGTCGGCGGGCTGAGAGGCATCACCAAACCACTGTTCGCCTCTGGCCAGACTACGATTCCCAAGGAGCGTTACGATGCCGTCATAGAGATCTATGACTTTGTAGAGACTTTCCTTACCGGGCACGATTACATTGCTGGCAATCAGTTGACAATAGCGGACTTTAGCCTCATCACATCGATCACGGCGCTGGCCGTATTTGTGGACATCGATCCAGTAAAATATTCAAAAATCACTGCCTGGATCAAGAAGCTAGAAGAACTACCTTATTTTGAAGAGGCCAATGGCAAGGGTGCCCGCGAATTGGTGGCCCTCCTTAAGAAATTCAATGTTACCATCGCATCTTAATAATATTTCCTTTGTTAAACAGCTTTGATGTAACTAATATTAATAAAGTATTACCCCTAACAGGATTTTAAAATAAAATTGTCCTTAGGTAGTTATTGCCAAAATAACAGCCATGTTAAAAAAGTAAAAGAAACCAAAGAGTATCTGATAGCTGAGACTTTAGCGTTCCTTTATGTTGATACAAACGATACACAAGTCGTGTGGTTTTGGCATTTTTTTTAATAATTTATTTTGAGTAATATACTCAGTTAGTTTCAGACCCTTAGACAATTGTAAAGTTCTTGCTTTTGATGAACGCGATAAATTGGGCAGCCCGGTTTCCATTGGCCGCATTGTAGTAGGGCAGCTTCTTGATGCGCTCGATCCAGGCAGCAAGTTTGGGATACTTGGTAGCATCCACTGGCAGGAACACCAGGAAGGCGGTTAGGGCGGCAGTGATGTGGAAATCGGCAATGGTCAGGTTATCTCCAGCCAGATAATCGCCACTTTCAAGGAACAGATTCAGGGACTTGTACACACCTTCCAGGGCATCGATCCTGGCCTGTGGAACCTCCGTCTTGTTCTCCCATAAGAGCGGGACTAAAATAGATTTTCCGGTGGACGTGATGACACTGGAGTCGTAGTGCAGACGCTGATCGACAATGGCTCGCTTCTGTAGATCCTTGGGGTATAAGGAATCATCCTTGCCATATTTGCTCACCAGGTAGGAGGTGATTACATGGCTGTCGGTCAAAATGAAACCATCATCTTCCAGGACGGGCACAGTGTGCAACGGGTTAATCTTGAGAAATTCCGGTGTTAAGTGCTCCTTCTCCAGCAGGTTGACGATCTTGTAGTGGAATTCCAAACCCAAGGCGTTCAAGGTGAGGAACACCGAGCGGACTGGAGGACTTCCGTCAATTCCGTAAAGCGTAAGTTTTCCCATATCGTGGTTGTTTCGAGACTAGCAAGATACTGTTCTAAACAGTTTGAGTTTGGGGCTTTATATAGCCCCTAGGCGGTTCTCTTCAATTAAGAGAACTTTGCAACGTTGTCGTGACTCTGCAGTTTAACCAACACCTTGGGTTTTGAACCCAACTATCACTGATATACACCATACATTTCATAATACTCTTTTGCCGTAAGAGAGATTAAGAAAGCTCTTTTGGAACAACATTAACCACTTCTAAATATTATTCATCGTTTTGGGATTCAAACCCTCAGCATTAAACAGCATTTTTTGGAACAAAAAAAATTCACAGTGAACGGCATTCCACATAGTGACGAATCGCACCGCGAGACTACTTTGATCATAATGCCGCAGAACAAAAAAGAAAGTAGTATTTTTTTTAAATATTGTTTATACGCCTTTTCATAAGTCGATTGGATCAGGCGACATCAAGGCGGTAGTATAAAAAAACGAAAGATCCGATCCCATAATTATTTTTCTTTTTTTCCCTTTATTTGAAGAGGAAAAGGTATATGCTATAAATTCGTCGGAAAGTAAGTAACATGATGAAGGAAGCGTTTCCGACCTCATATAGTATAAGTATTCTAGCTTCTCGATCTAGCCATGTGCGTCTGTCAGTCAGTCCGTGTAAATACTATGAGCTCGGAAACTAGAAAAGATAGAAAGTTGGGAAAGTGGGATTTGGCTTGCAGCATACTAACGCCCATAAAATGTAATTTTGTTTTTATTATTAATATCCATCAATATGCCAAAAACTGTTCAAATCGGCCCTTCCATTAAAAAGTTATATGCAAATATAGGAATCGACGCTATGCGGCGCAATCGCTGTGTGTTGCTGCTTGCATATCTCCATCCTCTCGCACTCTCCTTTGCTGAGTAAAGGGTATCTATTAGTCGAGGCCACCGACTATAGCGCTTTCTCTTATTTTATTTTTCTGTGCTGGGCAAAACTTCAATTATAAAAAATCGATTGTCTTTCCGCTCTTATTTGAACATTTTAAAAACTTCCGAACCTTGTCAAAACTACTTTTTCTTAGAAGTGGATGACCAAAAAGGTTAAAGAATTTTCCACTAAACTCTGATAAAGAATCAAGTAAACGAATATGATAAGCTAAAACACCTGACAAGTTTAAAGTGCCCTATCTAACACGTTAAATAAGTATACTGTATCAACCTCTATAAGTTATATTAACTGAAAATTCTGGCAGGAGATGTCATTCAAATAAGCAGATCTTCATTAAATATAGCTATGTCAATCAGGCAGAAACTTAATTACATCGGGCAGTGGGAATTCAAAAGCTTTGAATAGCTATGTGATGTATAGTAATATATGGAATTAATTTAATCGCTTGTTGCTCGGTCGTTAATAGCGATAGAAGCTGCTTGTTTAGTTTCTAATCGACAGCCGGAGCGAGCAGTCACCTGAAAAAGATGGGAAAATTAGTACTATACGGTGTAGAGGCAAGTCCGCCGGTGCGGGCCTGTAAATTGACCCTGGACGCGTTGGGCCTTCAGTACGAATACAAGCTGGTGAACCTGCTGGCCGGGGAAAATAGGAGCAAGGAGTTCACCTTGAAGAACCCGCAACACACGGTGCCCATGCTGGAAGACGACGGCAAGTGCATCTGGGAGAGCCATGCCATTTGCGCCTACCTAGTGAGGCGGTACGCCAAGGATGATGCCTTGTATCCCAAGGATTACTTCAAACGTGCTCTTGTGGATCAGCGTCTGCACTTCGAGTCGGGCGTCTTGTTTCAGGGCTGCATTCGGAACATAGCCGCTCCGTTGTTCTATAAAAACGAGACAGAGGTTCCGCGCTTCAAGATCGATGCAATCTACGAGGCCTATGATTTCTTGGAGCTGTTCATCGGGAATCAGCCGTATCTCTGCGGTACGGGCATAACCATCGCCGACTACAGTATTGTCTCCTCGGTAACCAGTCTAGTGGGCTTGGCCCCCATCGATGAGAAGCGCTATCCCAAGTTGAGTGGTTGGCTAAACAGGATGGCCGCCCAACCCAATTACCAGTCACTCAACGGAAACGGCGCACAGATGTTAGTCGACATGTTCACATCGAAGATCACGAAAATTGTATAACTTTGTTCTCTAGCTTAAAGGTTAGAAATGAGATTGTCGCTGATTACGTAACAATAAAGCTTATATTTGTATACACCTTACAAAAATGCTTCAAAATGCTAAATCCAAGTGCTGGTGTCCTTTTCGACATAGATATCACATCTTAAAGATAAAACTGGTGTAGGAATAGTAAATGAAATCATCTAGGCACTTATTCGAAGGGTCGGATTAATAAAACAAATATTGCACACATATCGCCTGATGTTCTTCTCTATCCACCGCTCGATGTCGTCCAGCAAAGGCCACTGTGGATCTGGCAATCGTCGGTTGGGCTACCTTCCCAGTCTCCACCCTCCCGCAAGCTTAAACACCGAGAGGCTGCTCCGAATGCATCGTTTTCGTTCTGGAATCGTTGCTGAAGAGTCCTACCCACTGGCTAGCTGTTCGTCTTGCGCTTCTCCAGTGCCTTCCAAACCAGTTTCATGCGCTGCACACAGTCGCGATGCTGGGACTCCCACAGCAGCGTGGTGAGACGTCCGACGGTGGCCACTCCGTCCTCCGAGCTGCGAACCCACTGCAGCAGCAGCTGGTAAATCACCTGAAAGGGGAAAGCAAGTGTTAATTTGATGGTTTTAGTCATACTTTCGAAATTTTCCAACTTGAACTTGGGGTAGTTTTTAAAGTCATTTAAAAATTCTGCCGTCTCCCTTAAACTTTACTGCAATGTAATTTTAGTGTCTACCAACCTGCAATCTAATCTCATCCATACAAGTAAGGCAGTATCAGTAGAAGGGAATTTAAGTATTATATAAAATACAAAACAGCCTACAATGTAAGCTTATTTTTAAAATTTTGATTAATGATGTTTGACATCCCATTTGAGCTATAATCTTTGGAAGGAGTACTGCTAGGCTCTACATTTATAATGTACTTTCAGATTTTATCTTAATCATAGGACTTTGTTTTATAATAAAGAGTGATAGTGAGTCATGAATTTTAGAAAATTAATTTAAACAGGTGCTTCACAGAAAGTTTAGTGGATTTCAATTTTATCCATTGGAATAGAGGATAA